GGGAGTGCCCCCAAAAGCACCCCCTCAACCCGGGATCCCCCAAAGCACCCGCCTCTTTTCCCAGAGGTGCAATCCATGGTCCAGCAGATTGCAAAGGGCGTGGAGTGTGAGCTCGTGCCATTTCAAGGGTAAGAGTAGTACGTCTAAAGCACCTAGTGACTTCAGACTGGGGGAGGGGAATATTGTGAAGTTGCACAAATTTCCGCCCTGCTCACACATTTTAATATGAATGCTCGGATCTACCTTACAAGGAGGGTGGTACTGTCCCCATTTCACAGCTCAGACCTGTTGAGTTAATTCATATAAATTGACTCCAGGAACTCTGCTGAGCTCAGAAAAGCTGGATCCCCCCCCCTCAGGGTTTACAATGCATTTCTGTAAGTGCGATTGGAGTGTTTTTAGGCAGGAGAGTGATGTGAGATGAATTATCCTTAAAAAGGTTGGGAACCCAGTAAAAAACAGATAGAAAGAGAACAGGAGAGAAAGCCGAGGGGCAACTGTGCTTATCATAGCCCTTGACCAGACAAGAAAGAGATGGTGGTAAGTTGCACCAGCCCAGTTAGGGATTTGCCCCCAAGCACAGGGCCCCAGGAACCCTGGGCACACCCACCTCTCATGCCCCTGCTGGGAAAGGGAACCTTCCCTGTGGCTGGTTTGTGTCTGAGGGGCTGTAGAGGAAGTCCTCAGGGAGAGTCTGCCTGTGTGCTGGGCCCTTCCCCCGAATCGGCCTTTTATCTTCCCTTCCACTGCTTTATAATTTCATACCCAAATTTGACCATTCCACGTCCTCTCACACCTCCAAGCATTTGCGTGGGCCTTACCCACCTCCCTTCCTCTGTGGCTTCTGAATCTCCCACCCTTTCAAGATGCAGCTCAGGTGACACCTTATTGGCATCAAAACTCCCGCCAGAATTAATCTCTGTGTTCCCATGGCACCTTGTTCACACCAGCAAATAGTCATGATTCCATTATTCTATTCTTATGCAGAATTAGTTGACAGTGAACTGGAAAATTTGTATGCACTGTACATACCTTGCCAGGTTATTTTAACAACTTATTGACATGATGGGTAAAGCAAAACCTAGGACATTAAATTCTCCCATATCCCCCCTCATTTCTCCGCCATTAAATTATGAGATTCGCAAAGAGAGAAGCATTTTATTTATCTTAGTTTCTCCTATGCCTAAATTAATGCAGTGTCTTGCCTGTAACAGGAGCTAATTAATTTTGTTGATTGAATTAATGGGCTAGAGAAGGTGAACAAATGACATTAATTCTTCTGATTGTTGGAAGTGTATAGAGCCAAGAAATGATGGCTGATGGAGATCAAGTTTTGTTTTAAGGTCAATTTCAACTGTGGGCCACGAAAATGTCACTGTGAGATATGTCACAATGTGACATTTTGTAAGTGAAAGTATGCGGTGCGACCCCTCTCTTTGGCCGAGCATTCAAATGTTAATATTCGAGTTCTCTGGGACTCTCGAATTTTTAAAAACACGATTAATGGAAATTGAATTGTGTGGAGTCTGAAGTGCTCCCGTTTGAGACAAATGGTTCTAAATGAGAGCCAGCAACTGCTCCCTCTAAATAGTTACCAGGCTGCTAAATTAACAGGTTTGCCTTCAGCTGAATATTCTGGAAGAGATTTAAAAAAATTTATTGAGTTATCAAGGAAAGAGTATGGTTTCTTAGTTAATTTATGTCATACTTTCCAAACCTGTGCTTTTCTCAATAATATTCCCTCTGATGAAGAGCAATAAAATTTTCTCTCTGAACTAAATCATTAGTATTCTTCCAGCCCTGTATCTACTACCATTAAATGTTTTGTTATTTGCTGAATTAATTGATATGTTAAAATGAAAGTGCTTTGGAGTCACACAGCCCCACACAATCTTCTGACCAAAGACAATACCATAACCCCTCCAACTTCCATCTCCTCATATCGGAAATGGGGAGATACTTTACCTGCTGGATGGCTGAGCAGATTGAGGGGCATATCGTGCCCTTTAGACTCACCCAGCAACTGCACACCTCAGTCCCTTGCACCCAGGAGGAATCCTGTATCCCCCAGCAGGAGAGAGGAAGGTTTTCTGGCCCTGAAGCCTTTGTCCTTAACTGCCCTGCAGGACCTTCGTCCACCTGCAGTGCTGAGCAGAAGAGGCAGTGTTACTCCCCGTGCACTCCCAAGATTTGGGATTCATCAGTCTGATACTCTAACCATGCTATTAGCTGAGACTCTGTAAGCAACAGAAATCCACTCAAGGTAATACAAGCAAGCCAAAGAGAGAGGGACTTTATGAACTTTCTGAACTTTCTTACCAAGGCACTACTAGGATGGGAACACTTTTCCCTGGTTCCTGTTGTTTCCTTCCTTGTGGAGGGACATCTGCGAGCCTAATACTCCTGGCTCTCCCCCGCCCTCACCCGCTCACTCCCAGCGGAGACTCAAGCTCCCACCCCAGTAGGTTCAGGAGTGATTGTTTGCATCCAGTGTCAAGCTGGGCTACAGGCTTGAGATGAAACCAAACAGTCCTCATGTCCAGGACCCACTTTCCTTCTCTTGCACTGCTTCTCTCTACACAGGCTGCATTCTACTCCATCCAAAGACCCTGTCTGAAAGCTGGCTCCTCAGGTAGCTGACCCACAGCTCCCAGGGCTGTGGCCCATGTCCATCCAGTCCACCTGGGCCAGTGGGTCACACAGAACAGACACGGCTGCCAGGGGAGGTTTGTGAGGGCAGAGAGGTGTGGTGTGCTGAGCCGACAGCCCAAAAGGTGTCTCCTGTACCCACCCCCGGGGCGCCCTCAATTACCTCATCTGTGAAGACAGGTTAATGATGGCAGCTACCTCCTAAGGCTCTGAGGATGACGTCTAGCCTCAACCTGCACATAGTAAGTGCTCAGTACGTGACAATGGTCAGAGGACAAGGACGGCATCTGATTGACCCCTGTAGCCAAAGCCCAGTGGAGGACCAGCACATAGTTGGTGCGCCGTGAATATTCACAGAATAAGTAAATCTTCCAAACAATGCCAACCACCTCCCTCCTTCACTCTTTGCTTCTAATAATACAGCCCGACATCCCATTAGCTGTGAGGACCCTGGGTTGGGGGTACTGCCAACCCATTATCCAGAGCTCAGGGCCAGACACCCACACATTTCCTCATCTGTGCTGCTAAGCCCATGTACACTTGGCTTTCTGAAACCAACCCGTCATCCTTGTTCCATTCTGCACTGAGGGATCTCTGTGGATCTCTGTCCATCACCTGTAGTTGATGCTTCCTTCATGCCGTCATCAACTTGGTGCTGAATGGAATACTTTATTGCAGAATGAATGGATGGACATTTATGGAGTGTTTGGACTCAGTATTGCATAGTGGTAAAGGTTGCTGACTCTGGGGTCAGACAGACCTGAGTTCTGTTTTCAGATCCACTACTTAGCTTTTCTGTGCCTCGGTTTCCTTAACTGTATAAAGAGGACAGTATTGTTGTGGGTGTAAATAATAATGACAAAAATTAATGGTCCTGCATGCAATGGGCTTAGCACGATGTGTGGCACACAGGAAAGACTCAGGAAAACAGGGTCCACAAGTAGTAGTGAGAAATGAATGATTCCATCATTGTTCTGAGACACAACACAACAGAAAACACATGTGCCAAATAACAAAGCAGGTATTTAGCAAGAAGGCCCACAAACAAAAAGGTGCACAGAAAGCAAGTTTGAACAGCAGCTTGGAGAAAGGGGAAGGGGAATGGGAAGAGGTGATAAAAAGAAACGGACAATGGCGGGGGCAGAGTTGCTGCTGGCCCATGATGCAAAAGGCCTCCGGCAAAGCTGTGCTCAGGGATATGGGGCAAGGTTCAGGAACAGCCCGGAGAGAATCAACCAACACTCCTGTGAAGTGGGAGCTGAGAACCCTGATCCCTGATTCTGTGTAGGGGAACTATGCAGTTTGCCAGGACTGTTCCAGTTTCAAATTGGAAAATCCCCCATCCAAGAAACCCCCTCAGTCTCAAGCAAGCTCAGGATGGTTGCTCATGCTAGAGATGTGCATATCCCCCCAAAATGGACCACCAGATACTCCCCTGGGTCTGCAGGATTCCTAGACAGCCCAACAACCAATATTCTTTGTGGGAGCAATACAGGGGAAGCTCCCGGCTTCCCACACTGGCATCTGCTCTGAAGTTTCCTCCGTCTTGGTCCTTCCATCACGCAGAACACAGGCTTGCTTAGCTTGTCCCAGGTGGGTAATGCACTGCGCTCGTCTACAGAGGCATCTCAAGCAAATTCTATCTCCTCTCTCTGTTTGTTCCATCTAGAAAATGGGTGTAATCATTCTGCCTAATGTTAATTTAAAAATAAAAAGGCCTTTCAAAGTGAGAGGCACACAAGCATGTATTTAAAATTAGTAAGAATAGCTATTTGGGACACACATACTAATTCAGGGAGAAGTCCAAATAGTGTTCCGATTAAGAGACATAGGCAATGGACATTACAAGAGGGCACAGGAAACCCCTATATCAACAGAAGGAAGGTATTTCTATTGGTGCAGATAACATAACATTGTGATGTTTATTCTAGAGAATGTTTTTAATTTTCAGTCCCGTCGTTGTCAGTCTCATAGTTACATCTGCTTTCTTGTTATCTTTGCAAGAAGTTTTTTGGGAAACAAGGTTGCTTTCGTCTCAGTCCAAAAGTTATTTTGCCCTGTTTTAACATTTCAATATTTGAGCCATAAGGCATGCAAGGCAGCTTCTCTGGCACGGCAGCCACAGCTCCATTTTAAAGTGTCTCTGTTTATTATTTTTTTGACACTGGGGTATGGTCAAGGTCAAATGAAATAACACGAGATTTGATTTAAAGTGTCTATTCAGTGTAAAAGCAAAGGATTTGATGTCAGAAGAACCTTCTCCACTACGTGGGAAATTGTGGGGGGTGGAATACTTGGCCAGAGGGGGAGTGGTCTTCACTGGCCTAATTCTGTGTTTCCCCCTCTTTCAGGGTAGGAGCGTGTGAGAGGGCTCTCTGTTCCCGAAAGAGGGGATCATGGCCTCCATGTTGCTCACCCGGCGGCTGGCCTGCTGCTTCCAGCACAACTACCACCTGCTTGTGCCCGGTAAGCCCTGGGGTCTTGGCAAAAATGAACTGGTCCTAGCAGAAGATGCAATCCAGACTAGGGATTCTGGGCTGGAAGAGTCTGTGGGGACAAAGGCACTGCCCAGCCAGTGCTTCTGGGGCTGTCCCACCATCCCCCATGAAACAGCCCCCATCCCCACCCCTCCCATTCCCCCATTGCTGCCACATGCTTCTGTCCCCGGGCAGACGGCCCTGCAGTGGGCGAGGAGCTGACCTGCCTGCATGGAGCTGGCGGCCCCAGAGCTAGAAGGGCCCGGGCTATCTGCACAGGGACCATCAGGCAAAACACACAGCTTGAGCTGCTGCCAAGAAGCAAAGAAAGCAGCAAAAGTCATTGTAATTGATGTAAAGGCTAGCTGTGCCCTGGACAGGAGGTGGCCTCCCTGGAGCGCCCCACGCCCACTGCCCTCTCCCTCACCTCCTCAACACCCCCACCCAGCCTGCCTGCAGCACCACCAGCTCTCCTGCCCCCCACTCTCTCTCAGATGCTCCCCTTTCTCTCTGCCTCACTGAGTGCAGGTGGCTTAGCCAAGTAAGCTTCATCAGAGAGCACCCTGCTTGCAGGATCCCCTTTGAGACCTCGCTCCCAGTGGTCCCAGGAGGAAGGCAGGAGTGAATCCCACTGTATGGATGAGAAAACCGTGGCTCAGAGAAGCAGAGCCTCCTGCTCAAGGTCACACAGCCACCTGAATGCGAGTAATCACCTCTTCTCTGTGTGCCTCCACGTCGCTCTGGGAGAAGGAGAGGCAAGCACTAGCCTCCCTTGGGACATCTTATGCCTCTGGTCTATCCCCAGTTCTCTAAGAGCCCTGTGCTTGTCATCTCCGTGTCCCCTTCTGTCGTCACTCCTGTCTGCCTTCTGAAGGCAAATTGCTGGCCGCATCCTGGGTTTGCATGTTTGTATCCTGGGTGAGATTAAAAGCAGGAATGTTTGCTCCTCTCCCGGGAGTATTAGCAGGCTTTATTTTAAAATAAATGTGTTATTTGAGGGTGATTTCAGATATTCAGAGAAGGTACAGACATAGTACAGAGAGATCCCATATGCCTCTCACCCAGTTTCCCCTCCGGGTTAACATCTTACATCACAAGGATACTCTTATCCAGACTGAGAAACTGACCTTGGTACTTCGCTACCAACCAAACTCCAGGCTTCTCTTTGCATTTCACAAGTTGTTAATACCTTTTTGTCCCAGGATCCAATCCAAGTTTCCCCATTGCATGTTGTCACATCTCCCTCATCTCCTTGCTCTGTGGCAGTTTCTCAGTCTTTTCTTGTTCTCAACCTTGATTGCCTTGAAGGGTTATTAGTAGGTTGTGAGGTTTTGTTTTAATTATAAGAGAAGCATATAAATGCTTACCCATTATTAAGTTAAAAATAAACTGAAACCAGAATAATCTAGGTCTGGTGTGCACCAAGTAGGAGGGAGGGTTGTGAGCATGGAAGACTCATTCATTCCATAACCAGTATTGTTGAGCCACCTACTAGGTGTGGAGTGCTGTACTGGGTGCTGAGCACATGTGGCTCAGCCTTTGAATGTCATTCTCAAGGACATCTGAGCCTTCCCAAGGAGGCATAAAGGAAAGAGCAATGGATTAATACTCATAAGATGGGCTACTGGCTCCATCCACCGCCTATTAGCCCAGTGAGACTAAGCAATGGGAAGAATTCCAAGCTTCAGTTTTCCCATCAGGAAAGTGGGCATACTAATGATATCCTCTCTGCTTCACAAGTTACTTGTATCAGAAGAAATGGTTCATGTGAAAGCACTTTATTTATGTTTACAAAAAGGTGAGGAGTATCCTAACTCCCATTTTTACAAGCATGGATATGGAGACACAATGCAATTAAAAATGGAAGTGGTTAAATTAGGGTTACTCAGCTCTGCATTTTCTTGGCTGGAGTTGAATCTTTGGCACACTTGTGCAAGATTTAGAAAACCATACCATGAGATATTTTTCTTTTCTTTTGGCCTATCAATTTGGCACATCCAGTAGGATTGATAGATGATGGATGGATGGATAAATGGAGGGATGGATAGAGTTTTTTAATACTAAAATGCAGTGTTGACAAAGATAGCAGAATGTATGCACTCTCATGCGCTGCTTATGGGCAAGTAACAATAGGAGAATAGTTTTAAAATTATAGGAATAATAGCTTATCCTTAACCCATTTAGTCCTTGCCACAGCTCCATAAAACAGAGGAAACTGAGACTCAGAGAAATTAAGTCACTTGCCCAGAGCTAGCAAGGGACTGAACCAGGCTTTCACCTGAGCCAGTGTGGCCCCAGGACTCATCGCCCTAATCAAAATATTAGTTATCTATTGCTTTATAATAAATACCCGCAAACTTAGTTAGTTAAAACAATACATGTTTATTATTTCATAGTGTTTGTGAGTTGGGAATCTACGGCGAGTTTATCTGGATCTTCTGGCTCCAGGTGTCTCATGGGGGTGCAGCTGAGTTATTAGCTGAGGCTGGGCTCATCTGAGGCTCATGGTCAGAGATGTGGGTCCACTTCCAAGCTCACTCATGTGATTGTGCTGGATTCAGGACCCAGTGGACCTCTTCCTGGGGCAGCTCACCACATGGCAGCCACTCCCTCTGAGTGAGGGAGAGCAGGAGAGCGCCTAAGTCAGAAGCCACAGCCTGGTGCCATGCCCACTGTGTGCAGATGCTTCTGTGTGTTTCTCCATCCTCGTATCACCATAAAGCCAGTAAACGTGAGGATAGTTCATAGCCTGAGACAGTGTTCCCCATGGCATCATTTCATGACACCCCAGAAAAGTTTATAATGTTACATTGACAAATAGAATACAGAGACTGGGAGGCTTGACTGCAAAATGGTTATCCCTGAGTGGGAGAATTAGATGTGGATTTTTTTTCATTGTTGCTCATAGATATTCCCTCAGTTAACATGTTATCAAAAACTAAGTGGGATGGATAGCTGGTGGGGAGAGAGATAAGGTTATTTAAAAAAGAAGTAGAGCAATGATTCCAGGTGAGCTTGACCTTGACTTTGACCAGGCTCACACCGTTACTGTCTGGGAAAATGACATTCATTTATTACTCTCAATATAGAGATCAAGAGGACATTAAAAGCATTTGATGGCTGTTTTTATAGTTTGAAGTTAAAAATTAACTCTGTGGCCCTGGCTAGTGTAGTTCAGTTGGTTGAGGCATTGTCCCATAAACGGAAAGGCTGTGGATTGGATTCTCTATCAGGGCACATACCTAGGTTGCAGGTTCAGTCCCCAGTCTGGGCATGTGAGAGAGGTGACCGGTGTTTCTCTCTCACATCAATGTTTCTCTTCCTTTCTCTCTCCCTCCCATCCCCTCTCTCTAAAATCAATAAGCATGTCCTCAGGTGAGAATTCAAAAAAAATTGATTGTGGATCGGCATGGGAACTGAGGCTGGTGAGCATCACTATCGGGCCCGAGGGCTGGGCAGGACTTACCCACTGTGCCTGGTCTCATGTGTCAAGGCAGACCCCTGCCTTCTGGGTGTACTGCTTTATTTATAATGAAAATGCTGGATCATTCAGTATTAATTCATACCTTTTTTTTTTTTTGCTTCCTTGTGCTTCTGATAGTAATTTGCCTCTGGGGGAAGCAAGTTGTTTTGCTGCAAATGTTTTACTTTGAAGATCTCCACTAGATGAGATCAAAGGTTGCATCAGTTATATTCAAATCATCTAGGAGAGATCCGGTGGACAAATTTCTGGTTTAACCACTTACGAGCTTTGGGTAAATTAATTGACCTTTCTGAGCTTTAGTGTCCTCTTCTGTAACATGCAACTAACATTAATCTACTAGGGGGTTGTGAGGATTAAATGAGGTAATCCCTGTACGGTGCTCAGGATAATGCTTGGTACGTTCACTGTAAGTGCTTGATAAATGGATACGTGCTTGAGTGACTTGATATACTAGATACCAGAAAAGGCTCCCTTCCTTGACCATTCAAATCTTGTTCTTTTCTCTTGTGGTTTACGATGTTATATATCATCAATAAGAGAATTAAGGTGTTATGTATCACCATTGGTATTGTATTGGTTTTTCATTATTTTTCTCTACAGAATTGAAAAGTGAGCTATAGTAGGAAAAGCAGAAGTATTAGACCCAGGTTCAAATCCTGCCTTTGCAACTCACTAGCTATGTGACCTTGGGAAAGACACTTAACCTCTCTGATTCTCATCTGAAAAATGGGAACAATACCATCTCACAAGTGGATTGTGGATTTATTAAAACAAAAGACAAGAGTTTGCCTAAGTAAGGCCTGCCTAGCTCACGTGTTAGCTTCCCCATCTCTTCTTTTCTGATAGCGCTGCTGCCAACAAACTTACAAGGCTCTGACTTTAAGGATCTCTGCTCAATGGTTTTGGCTCTCTTCCATTCACACCCACTAAGACTTGGAACATGGTGAACTGATGAAGTGCTTGAAACAGACCTGTCTGCCTTGCACCTGGCCCTCGGCATCCCCGTCCTGTGCCCCATCAATCTGCTCCCAATGAACGGGTTCTTGCCCTCTCTCCACTGCCCCTCCCTACCCCACCTCCCAGCTCCTGTTTACGCAGAGTCTTAGCATCATCATAGCTGCAGCTCCCACTGCTAACTGCCTCCATTCCTGGTATTCCCACTTTCCAATTCCCAAGAAATCTGCAGCAATGTGCTATCAAGGCATTTTCTGGAGATAGGAAGGAAGGCAGTTAGTTGCACATTCTCATTTGGAGGACAGCTTGCTAATTTTAGATTTTTAACTTTCCCCCTTTGCTGAAGCAAAGCAAGATCAGCACCAGTTAAGAGTTATTTTTATCTACGGATGCATCCCTGTTTTATGCAGGTCTAGTTGAAATCAGCCTTGACCCGTAACATGGAGTTCTGGCCAAGGAAGAGATAAACAGTTGAGTATTAAAAAAAAAATGTCATCAGTGTGTCCCAGGACCTTTAACTCTCTGCTAATATAATAAACTCTTTAGGAATTTCCTTTTCATTTTAAGATCAAACAGAAGCTTTGTTTAAGATCAAACGAAGTCGGTTTCTTCGTGCCCTAAAATAAGGATAGAGTTGGATTTTAACTGGACTTTACATTCAAAGGGCAACATAATTAATTACATTATGTAATTAATTCAGATATCCAAAGTAATTGTGGAAATTAAGAATAAACTTAAATGTTTTCTAGTATCATGGCTTTATATGGTTTAGCCAGCTGTGTGTGTGTGTGTGTGTGTGTGTGTGTGTGTGTGTGTGTGTGTCTTTGTGTGTATGTGTGTGAGAGAGAGAGAGAGAGAGAGATACTAGCATGTTTCTTTACCTCTGCATTTTAGTTTCCTCTCCTATGTAATGGAAGCTCCCCCTTAGGGCTGTGTATAGATGAAATGAGATCAGGTGTATGAGTTACAGAAAGTCACTACTGATTCCCTAGTTTGATGCAATTATGGTAACCCAAATAAGAGGAACTGACATTTCCCAACAACCAAATATATACCAGGAAGATAAAAAATGACCCAGGGATATTACAGGGATTTCTAGGGGTTACTGATTATAAATTATAAATCATTACACACTTCTCCTAGACTCCTAGACTGTCCCTCAGGGGTCAATGAGACTGGGGGTTGAGGCTACCCTCTATGTCTCAGCAACATGCTGAGCTGAAAAGCTTCGTGGGGTTAGCCTGGAAATTCAAACACCTTCTATAATTTTATCACTATACAAAAAGGTGAAATGAGTTTCAAGCAAGTTACTAGTCCCCCCAACTTTGTTTAACAACAACAAATCTGTAAGTGGGGGTGACCTGAATTTAGACATTTGATTGTTTTCTCCCAGGTGGTTTTTGATTGTCACAACTAGGGACACAACTCGGGGTGGGTGCTACTGGCATCTAGTGGGTAGAGACCAGAGATGCTGCCCAGCATCTGCAATGCACAAAACAGCCCTCATAACATAGAATTCCAAGCTCAAAATGTCAGTAGTGCCAAGGCTGAGAAATTCTGGTCTGTGATATTAATACATTTGGATATAAATTAAATGTTTACAAAATTTGGATGATTTTATCATCTTTCACATGCTAATATCATGGCCATCGTTCCATATCCATAAATATTCAATATGTCTGTCTTGCAGCTATTAATGGATGCACAATATTCCATTGTCCATAAATGGTGGAATATGTCATATGTATTCTATTGAGCTACCCTTCATTGTCGAACATTTAGGTCATTTTCTCTTTGTTGTTTGAGGCAATACGATTACGAATATTTTTAACCTACATCGTTGTGCATTGGTCCCATTATTTTCTTAGGATGAGTCAAAATATGGGATTATTCAGTCAAAAGGAATAGGAAGCTGGCATCAGCTTACACTCACACCAGCAGGACTCAAGCATGCCTACTTGCCTACAACATCGTTGGCACTGGGCTTTCCCATTTTTAAAAAATTCTGTGTTTTTGTGGTGCCTAGGTCTGGCCAGACTCAGTGTTCTGGGGTGGTCTGGCTAGGATGGGTTGAGGTCCTGGGACTGCCTCTGTTGAGAACATTGGGTGTCTGTTAGGACAGAATTATCACTATATCTACTGTCACCAGGGGTTCTCATTATCTCATTTACTGCAGGATCCAGACATATCAGTCAGGCTGCAGCTAAAGTCGACGTTGAATTTGATTATGACGGGCCTCTGATGAAGACAGAAGTCCCAGGGCCTAGATCTCAGGTGAGTTGAGCACACCTGAATGAGGCTTTTGGAAAAGAGCAGAATGAGTCAATGAAGCAAGAACACAGCTGAGCTTAGGAACTGTATTCTTAGCTGCTTTCAGAGATTTGACGAAACAAAGATCTGGGACATTAAGCAAGGGCATTCTATCACAAGAAGTCAAAGAAGGCTTCTCGGTGGAGCTGAATTAGTATCTGCTGCTGCAGTAATGCTGCATGACAACCACAAAATCTCAGTAGCATACAGATTGCTCATGTAACTGGGGTTAACTGGGAGGTGGCTAGGCAACTCTGTCAGGCCCATCTACATGCCTGGGGAATGACTGGCCATCAGCTGGTCTAGGCTAGGCTTGACTTGGTCACTGCAGTGACTTGGCTTTGCTCCATGTGTCCTTCATTCTCTAGCAAGCTGGGCTGGGCTAGTTCTCATGGTGATGGTAGAGGAGAGCATGCTATAGGTCTCTTGAAGCCCAAGCCCCACATTGGCCCACCATTCACCCTGTTCTGTTGGCCAAAGCAAGTCAAGGGCTGGTGCAGAACATTCTACCAACAGTGGAAGAATGTGGCAATTCTATATGGCACAGGGCATGGATAGCAAATGATCTTGAGCCTGATCTTGAAGGACAAAGAGAAGGAACCTGCCAAAGGAGTACATTCTGCTCTAGGCAAGGGAAATGATATTTGGAGAGGCATGCATGGTGACAGTACATGGCCTATGAGAGACATTAGAGAGCTCTGAATCCCTGGAGTAAATGTCAGTGTGTGATGGAAGAGACACAAGTTGAGTTTTGAGGGAGACTGGAGATTCTACTCAAAGATGCTATAAAATCTGCATATAGCACATTTTGGAAGGCTGACTAATCTTGAGTATGTGAGTGATATGTAATACTCTTTCTAATGTTTGCACCTAAAAAATAACAGTGTAAACATTTTTAGTGTCAAAATATACCCCTTTTGTCATTGCAACTATTTATAAATCCAGAAATTTTTGTACTAATAAATGATTATAGTTATTATGGAGAGTGTCTGCTAACAAAAGGAGAGACTTTTTAATACATATGTCTATTAGGAAGCAGTGGATTTTAATTTAATAGTAGTGACATATTTGAAATAATTTTTTATTTTTTGTCATTAATATTTCTGTTTTTGATGTAGACATATATAACTTTATAACACTAATTGCCAAAGTTTATGTTCAATCATTTTTAGAGATTAAATCATCATAATATTAAAGCAACTGGTGTATAGCTCCCAGTTTCTATACAGAATTGCTCAGTGGTTTATGGAGTATTCAGATTATAATTGTAAATGGGTGTTGGTGTGCAAATTTATATTTTCAGTTGATTTTATTTTTCTAACATGTTATTAAAGTCTTTCTTTTCCTAAATAAAAAGAAAACCCATGTTTTACAGACACTAGGTAAACACCTTCCGTTTAACCTTCTTTGTTAAATATTTTAGTTAAATATTTTATTTGATTATCTTCCAAGTGTCTAAATCTCCCGTCTCTCTGTTGTAATTTAACCGTCAAAAGTAGTTCCCCACCAACTATGTATATTAAGCAATTTTAAAATATTGATAATATTGTTGACTAAGTAACTATTAAGATATTGGCATAAAGAGGAAAGGAGCCCCAAGCCTTGGGAAGACACAAAAGATTGTAATCTACTTTGGAAACATGTGTCCTTGCTATAATGCTTTTGCTTTTCTTGCCCACAGGAGTTAATGAAACAGCTGAATATAATTCAGGTGAGTGGGGATGAGGTAGCATTCCTTCCTTTGCTTCTCTATTACAGGTTAGCTGAGGGACACAGGTGCTTTCCTTGTGCTGGCTCTTTTCAAAAAAAAAAAAATGCAGCTGACTTTTACTCTGAACCTTTTTTTCTAATTTTTCTTGTGATTTCTTCTTTGACTCATTGGTTCTTTACATGTGGTTTATTTTTCACATTTTGGTGAACTCATGTTTTGTTTTCTATTACTGATTTCCAATTTCTGCATTGTGGTTAAAAATATATTTTGTGCGATTTCAACCCTCTTAAATGTACCGAGTCTTTTTATGGCCTAGCATATGGTCTGTCCTGGAAAACGCTCCATGTGTACCTGAGAAGAGTATGTCCCTTCCTGTTGTTGGGTGGGGTGTTCTATAGATGCTTGTGAGATCTATTGGTTGAAGCATTGTTCAAGTCTATTTCCTTTTAATCTTCTGCCTAGTCTATCCATTATTGAAGGCCATGTATTGAAATCTCCAATACATAGAGAACTTTCCCGGAGAACTATTTTTTCCCTTCAATTCTGTCAGTTTTTGCTGCATATATTTTGGAGCTCAGTTAGGAGCTGCTTCTATATTTATAATTGTTATATCTTCATAGTAGACTGACCCTTTGTCATCATAAAATGCCTCTCTTTTAGTAACATTTTTTTTTGTTTTACATACGATTTTGTCTGACATTAGTATAAATCATTCCAATTTTCTTATGATTACTGTGAGAATCACATATTTTTTTCATCCTTTCAAACTCTTTGTTATTCTTGAAACGAAAGTATGTCACATGTCAACAGCTTATAGTTGAATATTTTTAATGGAGCCTGACAGTTTCTGACTTTTGATTAAATTGTTTAATCCAGCCACAGTTAATGTTATCATTGATAGAGCTGTATTTACATCTTCCATTTTACATTTTTTCTCTTTGTCTCATATCCTTTTTGTTCCTCTGTTCCTCTTTTTACTTCTACTTTTTTTTTGCATTAAGTGAGCAACTTTTAGTGTAACATTATTATTTCTTTCCTAATTATTATTTTTTCTTTTAGTTTTCTTAGTGGGTGCTCTAAGGCTTACCATATACATCTTATAAGAATCATCTTCAGAGTTATATATCAACCTTTTTGTTGTGATATAGAAAACACATATAGAAAACTTCATATAATACAAATCCATAGCTTAATAAACGATTACAAAGCAAACCACCTGTGTAATAACCCCCAGGGCAAGAAATGTGACATTACCAGGACCCACAGAGACCTTCCATGTGTCCATAGAATGGTCAGGTCATGGGTTTTTTCACTAACTCAAGCTTAATCCTAAAGACTGAGAATCTAGGGAGTTGCAGTGAGCCTGACTCAGTCTGTTTTTCCCCCCAAGAATGCAGAGGCTGTGCATTTCTTCTGCAATTATGAAGAGAGCCGAGGCAACTACTTAGTCGATGTGGATGGCAACCGAATGTTGGATCTTTATTCCCAGATCTCCTCTGTCCCCATAGGTAAGAGCTGGAGAATCAGTCCTTGAATGTATCTACCTCTCTTTTAGTTGTGGCCCCCTGGACTTAAGTCGCCTCCAGCAGGCACATCCCTTCATGTTACCAGACACTTCCCTCAAGGGCAGGAAAAAGGAACAGGGTGTATTACTAGGGACTTTTCATGTCTTCTCTCATTTGCTCCTCCCCAGAAACCTACATGGTAAGTATGCATTAGCTGTCCGTTTTGTAGGTAGAGAAGGTGAATATTAGCAGCTTACAGAGGAAGTTCAGCCAGGATGCGAACCCAGGTCTGTGTGACCACGGAGTTTGACATGCACTGTCTTCAACTGGGTTTCCTAGAAGAAGAGCCCACAGCATGGATTCTGTGCACATGGTTTATTACAGGAGAGCTCTGGGCAGAAAGTGGAGGGATGAAAATGGCATAGGGCAGGGGGCAAAGTTCAGAGGGAGGAGCTGTCAACCAGAGACCAACCACTACCTGCTTCCCAGGGGGGCCCTTGAGCATGTATTGCGCCCCAGAGTTGATCCCAGCCTGGGGCAAAGAGACTTGCCTTTTTCTACCCCTGTGCCAGTCAGTCATTGTCTGTCAGCTGCCGGGAGGGAGGACATGTCATCTCTGGAGTAAAGTGGCTTCCATTCACCAAGGGCAATTTTCCAGAGGAAGAGGCAGCTGGAGCCATTATCAGCCACATGCACAGCAGCTGGGCGAGGGGTGTCCTGAGCTGTAAAGGTGCCCTAGTGGGACACCAACAGCATCTGCCTCACAAGGCTCACCTTCTGGTCACAGAGAGCATGACTTGCTGCTGTAGGAAGGCACACAGATGACAGGATGGACAGGGCTGATTTGAACATGCAGCAGCTGATCTTTACACTTTGGATGGTTGATGTTTCTTTGGTCTGTGGATTCCCCTTGGATTCACTGGTCTGTAGGCTGAGTGTCCGGTGAAGCCTGTCCCTTCGTGGATGATGCTGGGCTGTCCTAGCTCCCCATCAGCAGCTCTGCACCCCTAGCAGCCTCAAACCCCGAATTAGGTCTCCACTCCTCCTCGGCTCTCCCCCATCACAGTCCCTTGAACCTGTTTATTTCCCATTAAGATGCAATTAGACAGTAAGTGGGTGGCTCATTCTTTTTGGAAAGTCCCATTGTTCAGAGATGCCTTGGCCTTTGGAGGCGTTTTGGATGCTAAAATTTATAACCCCAATCTCCATTTTGTATCCAAGTGAAATGGATTAGATCTCGAGTTGCCATGGGTTTGGATCTTGGCTCCACCATATATTAGCTGTGGGACTGTGGGCAATGTCTTCCCAGCTGACTCCTCCATCCTCCCCCTCACCCCCAGGGCTCCCTCAGTTGCAGTCCCGTCAGCCAGTGTATCTGTTGAGGGTGTGGGGTTCAGGCCGAAAGTACTTGTTAAAAGACTACAGGTTCTAAGTTTCTCTCTCTGACCATTTTGTCTCCCGTTTCTGTGTTCTTTGACATGATTTTTTTAAACTAATAATCACTGAGAATTTGCTGTATGCCTGGAATATTATAAGCACTTTACATGTTATCCCATTAAATCCCTAAACAGTCCTATAATGCGTCAAGTCCTTTAACATCACATCCAGTTTACTGAGGGGAAGCCAGTTTTCGAGAAAGTGCAGGGTTTGCCCAGAGTGTCCAGGAAGCCAAAGGATTTGAAACAGTGCCTCTGTGCTTCTTAGCTTCCTCCTGTGACTGCAACCTCCCAGAGAGCCACCCCTGCCCAGCCCTGCCCTGACCTGCTGTGGAGGGCAGTCCACAGTTTTGAAAGCCCAGAGGTAGGACTACCCTGATCAGAGGGACCAGCTCTACTTTCATCTGTCCTGAAGACAATAGACAAGCTGAATCTGTGGCTTAATGAGATTTCCCTGAACCTTCTTATCTACTGAGGCAGAAAAGTCAGGCAGCATGATAGAGAGCCAGAGCCAAAAGACCTCTAGCCAGAAAACAGTTGGAAAAGCCCTGCAGAGGAATGCTTCCTTTAGCAACAAGTGCTTTCCAGCCTTGGGCCCAGCTTACCTTGGATTGGCATGGGGAGGGGTGGGGACAGTAGAGAAGGACTGTCATCAACCTTCTCCCCTTGGTCCACAAGCTTTTCACATCTGTTCACTCTTGATTCCATGGAGAAGTTCTCCCATAGCTGATGCTGAGTCTTTTATACCTGTCTAAACTTGCTAATCTCTTATTCTGGAGGCACCAGGCCCCAAGCTCAGAGCCTTGGGCAGGCCCTCACCATAGTGTTATAAAGTCATCTTGCTTTCAAAGTAAATTTATTTAAGTTAAAAATTGAATTGATTGGAAGAAAATAAGTACAAGGTACGTGATACTTAATGGAGGTGTAGGCAGATACACTTTGCCTCCTCACACAACCAAAAGAAAGACAACAACAAATTTAAAAACAAAAAATAACCAGAACTGGCAGAAAATCAAACTGAATGGAAGTCCAATAACCAAGGAGTTAAAGAAGAAACATTCATCCAGACCGACAGAAGGGGCGGAAATGTGCAGACGGGCTGGAGAGGACGCCCGACAAGGTGGTGGCTGGAGGACTGGCGGGGGTGGGGGGGTGAGGCAGCAACTGGTAGACCGGGGACCCCACATTTGCATGCAGATAAGCCAGGAGGAACGACTGGGGAGCGAGACAGACCGTGCAACCCAGGGTTCCAGTGTTGGAAAAGAAAGCCTCAGAACCTCTGGCTATAAAAAACCTGTGGGGGATACGGCAGTGGGAGAAACTCCCAGCCTCATAGGAGAGTCCGTTGGAGAGGCCCACGGGGTCCTAAAACATACACAAACCCACCCATCCAGGAATCAGCACCAGAAAGGCCCAATTTGTTTGCGGGTAACAGGGGAAGTGACTGAAAGCCTGCCGAGAGCCGAGCAAGTGGCCTATTCCCTCTCAGACCGCCCCCTCCAAGGATAGCAGCACAACGCAGTCACCTGGGTTGTTCCACCCTGGCAAATAACTAAGGCTGCACCCCTTACAACCTAGCAGGTGCTCTGAGACAAAGAAATCTGGCCCGAATGAAAGAACAGATCAAAGCTCCAAAAACAGAACTAAGCGATGAAGAGATAGCCAGCCTATCAGACGCATAGTTCAAAACATTCGTAATCAGGATGCTCACAGAAATGGTTGAGAATGGTTGCAAAATGGAGGAAAAAGTGAAGGCTATGCAAAGTGAAATAAAAGAAAGTATACAGGGAGCCAACAGTGAAGGGAAGGAAACCAGGACTCAAATCAACAATTTGGAGCAGAAGGAAGAGAGAAACATTTGACCAGAACAGAATGAAGAAACAAGAATTCAAAATGAAGAGAGGATTAGGAACCTCTGGGATAACTTTAAATGTTCCAATATCCGAATCATAGGGGTGCCAGAAGGAGAAGAGGAAGAGCAAGAAATTGAAAACTTATTTGAAAAAATAATGAAGGAGAACTTCCCCAATCTGGCCAAGGAAATAGACTTCCAGGAGATCCAGGAAGCTCTGAGAGTCCCAAAGAAATTGGACCCAAGGAAGCACACACCAACACACATCATAATTACATTACCCAGGATTAAAGAGAAGGAGAGAATCTTAAAAGCACCAAGAGAAAAGGAGAGAGTTACCTACAAAGGAGTTCCCATAAGGCTAACAGCTGATTTCTCAAAAGAAACCTTGCAGGCAAGAAGGGGCTGGCAAGAAGTATTCCAAGTTGAAAGGCAAGGACCTACATCCAAGATTACTCTATCCAGCAAAACTATCATTTAGAACGGAAGGGCAGATAAAGTGCTTCCTAGGTAAGATCAAGTTAAAGGAGTTCATCATCACCAAGCCCTTATTATATGAAATGTTAAAGGGATTTATCTAAGAAAAAGAAGAAGATCAAAAACTATGAACAGTAAAATGACAACAAACTCACAACTATCAACAACTGAACCTGAAAAAAAACAAATAGAGCAGAAACAGAATCACAGAAATAGAGATCAGAGGGGAAGGGGAGAGGGGAAAATGGGGGGAAAAGTACGTGGAATAAGAAGCATAAATAGTAGGTATAAAATAGACAGGGGGAGGTTAAGAACGGTATAGGAAATGGAGAAGCCAAAGAACTCACGTGTACGACCCATGGACACGCACTAAGGGAGCGGGGGATGCTGGTGGGAGGAGGAATGCAGGGCGGGGGGGAATAAAGGGGGGAAATGGGGCAACTATAATAGCATAAATCAATTTTATATATATAAATATAAATGTATAAATATATAAAATCAACTTGAGACTTTAAATATATGTATATTTATATGTATATTTATTTTATATATATTTTACATATACATTAAACTATATATTTACATATATTATGTATAAATATATAAAGACTTGAGAAATAAAGAATGAAAAAAATTGTGATACTTGAAGACTGAGAGTTTTTCTAAGTTCTACTTCCTGCTCCAAGATTCATAGATGAGTCTGTCTTTTCTCACATATGACAGTTCTGGGTTCTTGCCATGTCACTGGATTCTCGGCATTATCCATTCATTCAACTATTGAGCAGAACACTTGCCACTACCTTTAAGAGTCTTACAATCTGGTCTCCTGACCTTGGTGCGTCCTACAAACCTGACCATCCTATAGGAGTTGTTATCAGGATTTGCAATATATATAGTGAACAGAAAGCCCCCTGCACATAGTAAGATAATCAATGGAAGTAAAGGCTTTGAACCCAGGGCATCTGGCTTCAGTGATGTGCAGTCCTGTCTTACATCTCCTTCCTTTTCAATAAAAGCTTCCATTTATTGAATATCTATTATGTGCATGGGCCTTTTTCTTCATTATTGCTAAACCTGGCAACAACTCATCTGCTATTGATGGACTTTAGGTTGCTTTCTAGCCTAAAGATATTGGAGTGGCACAATTAAGATATGTGTACATTGGTCTTTATACACATGTGTAGAATAAATTCATAGAAGAGTAACTGCTGAATGAAAGGGTGTCTTAAACCTTGTCATGGAATGTCAGGCCCAAGCTGCACCATAAATGCAGCAGGACTCTGGGAATAATCAAATGTGTGAAGGCAGAGATAGATATTCTGGTCACAGATTGCAGATGATACCACTCACACCGCTCACTCCACTCTTTTGGTTCCTAAGCAAACATTTATTGCAATTTGACTCGATCAATAGGCGATGGGGGAGAAAGCAAGGACCACATTTGTGATTCATCATGTGGGCCGAGGGAACCACCCCAGCCCTTGAAGAATGCTTTCAACTATATTCACCTCATCTTATGTCTGTCTAGTTCTGTAGGTCTCAAACCTGAATCCCAGAATTACCAAGAGAAGTTGTTGAAGATTCCTGGGCTGTTCCCTGAGAGATTCTGAGTCAGGGGATATGGGTGAGCCCAGGAATGGGTCTTTTGTCTGCAAAGGATAAAAAGACCCCTTGGCATAAGAAAAGATTGGAAAGGAGGGGAGAAGCAGGCAATGGGGGAGAAGCACAGGGACCCTCAGATGTGATGTTGGTCTCTAACCATATCGCCCCTCCCCAGGTTACAGCCATCCTGCACTAATGAAACTCGTCCAACAGCCTCAAAATGCGGTAAGTCCCTGGGTTATACAGAGTAAAGCCAAATGTGTGCATGGTAATTCAGAGGCTCATTGGGGCATCTTTGGAAATGGTCCCTTCATTCATTGCATAAATACCTATTGAGCACATACTACGCTCTAGTCACTCGGAATACCTTGGTGAGCAAAAACACAGCACCCACTCCCATGGAGGCACTCGATTAAGTTAATTCTCTACACATAAGCAGAGAATCCCAACCATAGGAAGTGCTACGGAGTGAGGTAAGCAGTGCTGTGTGGGCATAAAACGATGATAATAATGACAAAAAATAATTAAATGCATCATACATATAGTAACCCCCCTTAGCCGCAGTTCCACTTTTTACAGTTTCAGTTACCCATGGTCATCCGTGGTCCAAAAATATTAAGTGGAAAATTCCAGAAACAAACAATACATAAGTTTTAAATTTTGCACCGTTCTGAGTAGTGTGCTGAAGTCTCCTGCTGGGACATGGATTGAGCCAAGTGCTCTGCTTAGGGTCTTAGAAAGCTGACATCATCTCTTAGCTGGAGGCTATGGGGAAGAATATACCTTGGGGCTTGTTCAGGTTGTTAGCAGAATTCACTTCATTGCCACAGTTTCCCCATGATCCCACCATCTTCCTGGTCCAAACCTTTGCTGTCTTCCACCACTGTTTCTGCTCTTAGCAAAGGGCTCATGTGGTTATACTAGGCCCATCCAAAAGATCCAGAGTAATCTCCCTATCTGAGCCAATTGGGAGCCTTAATTACACCTGCAAAGTCCTTCTTGCCCTATAATATATTCATGGTCCCAGGGTTTGGCATCTTCTTGGGAGCCAGATTGTGTGGGTAACACACCTATACAATATGGTATACATGTGTATAATATGGTATATCAGGTATGGCATATGCTATAGTCATACTATATAGCCATCTGTGCTCTCTATGTCACAGAGTAGGATTTTTTCACCTCCAGTGAGAATTCATGAATTACAGGTGGTCCCCACAACATGCCCTCACCTCGTTACTGTTCCCCCAGACCACTTCTCTTATTCTAACAGCATAGGTGCGTTCCTTCCATTCTTTCCTGCCACATAAATGGAATCACACACAGTGTGTACTCTTCGTCATGCCTGGCTTATTCACTCAAAATCTGTGTGTGCAATTCATCCTTGTCGTGCCGAGCCACACACCATCTATTTCCCTGGCTACAGAGCCTTCCAGTGAGTGAGCACACTGCAACTAATGTGTTCATCCCCCTGTTCATGGGCATTTGGGTCGTTCCTCCAAAAGCCATTGCCGTGAGCATTGGAGTGTATATCTTCCAGTGACCACAGCCATGGTCTCCAGGGGATACAAGGGAAGGAGTGGAGCTGCAGGCCATCACAGAGTGCAGTTTTCCAAACCGGTTGTCAATTTCCACCGCACCCCCCAGCAGTGGGGTGAGTTATGGTGCCTCCACATCCTCACCAACACCGAGTGTCAATGGTGAGGGTGGAGAGTGGGGGGTGCTTTCCTTTTACTCGGAGAGTGATAAAGGCATTCACGCATGACAAGGAATGTGAGTCCCGTCAAAAATCTAAGAAAGGCAGAGGAGGGTGGAGAGCTCAACTCTATTAGGAACTGACTCCAGGCCTTAAACTTTTTCCCCTTTTAACCAGCACAGTGGGAGATAATAGAAAAGAAAGACATTTCCTTCTTTACAAAGAGGTGTGCCCTGCCTGGGAGGGACTTGGGGACATTTCTCCCCTCCGATTAGTCGATTAGTCAACAAGTTCAAGGGCTGCAGTAGAGGACTCCTGAGGGTATCTCGGGTGTGCAGGCTCGGAGGGTGTGTTTACATTCAAAGCCCAACTTTGTTTTGAAACATTGTGCAGATCCCAGATGCCTCAGCAGTTGGTGCTGGAAAAAATGTGTCAACAAACATGTCACACACATTTGCAGTGTCAGCTGCCTCGGAGGCAGAATCATCCCCAACGACACGTGACTTCAAGGCCCAGGGATTCTGATTTTGGGGGATGCCCTGCCTCCACTTGTCCCTGCCAAGAACCTGGATGCCACACTTACCACTTACCTCCTCACCTCTCCCCTCTCAGCCAGTCAGAACCCGCCGTAGCTCTGCATCTTCCACTTATGGATTCTTTTCCTCTCCAACTGTTTCTCCCTCCATGTCTATTTGCATCTCCTCCAAACCATCACCTAAACTACCCTGTGCATGGAACCCTTTCCAGGTAACCACTGACTTTGGACACATCCCACGTTAAGTACAAAGCCCTTTGTGATCTGCCTCCCACTTCTTCAGCCTCATTTCTTGACATTTGTTTATTTACCAACTATTGATTGAATACCTACTATGTGCTGGACGCTGTCCTGGTGCTGGTATTGGCTGGTGAAGTTACAGTCTAGATTATAGTCTAGAACAGTCTAGATTACAGCCTGGATCACAATGTTGACCTTGTTCTGCAGACGACTGGTTTTGGGCAGGGTGACTGTCACAGTCCTAGAGAAATGGCATCTGCCTGCTATAAGCTCAGCAGGGACACCCAGGGCATCGGGCTGGGGGACCACTGGTTGACATCCAGTGTCTTCCAAATTCTTGGCTGGGGAAGAGCTCAGGTGGTGGTTATGGTATTTTACCTGTCCTGGCAGATTCCTGCCAAGTCATTGAAGTCCTCAGGAAGGACTTTATCTACTCTTTGTACCCCAGTCAAAGCAGCCTGAAAATCCCGCATCATTATTTTAGGCGGGTGGAAAAAATGAAGCCATGTCTTCTGGATCTATTATCTGGGTTCCAGTTACAATTTCTTCCATTGCCCAGGCCACCTCATTACAACGCCCACAAGTTATGCAGTGATTATTGGGCACTACATGTGCACCTTCACACTAATGAATGACGGGTGCAGTCTGACATCCTGTTGTCCATGGCAGCTGGTGTGGGCACAGGACAGCCGGGCAGGTCAGGTAAGACATGTGCCATCCCTGCGACCTCCAGGCCTTTCTACCTATGTGACTCTGCCCTTCAAGACTGAGCTCCTGCCTCATCTGAGTGCTATGCCATCTCAGTGGCTCCTCACACACACCCAGGGAGAGGTCCCTGTTCTGGTAGATGAAGACCCTGAAGTCCAGAGAGTTTAAGTAACTCACCCTAGGTTGTACAGCCACTTAAACCAAAGCCCATTCTCTTCACACTGCACTTTAGGGCTGCTGAGTCTGACAGCAAGGGTTCTAGAAACCTGTCCTCATTTGATTCTGCTACCCAATGTCCCAGATATCTTTTATTCTTAATGTCATGCTTTACTAAACAAGAACATCACCCACACATCTTCCCGGGGCCCACACAGGCAGTCAAGCTGCCAGCCAGCCTGGCCTTCCCCAGTGTGAGCCTCTTTCACCTCTGCCAATGATGGCAGTTCGGCTCTACCTTTATCTCATAATGGGCTTGATTTCTCAGGAGCCCCACTCAGAGCAGAGCCAAAAGAAATACCCTCTGAAGCCCTTACAGGCCAGCCAAGGTCCCTGGGTTGCACCAAGCAAACTCATATTCATCCTTAACATTATCAGGCATAGGCTGCCTGCAGTGTCTGGCAAAGGATAGAATCTGAAGTCAGCAAACCTGGGTTGGAGTTGTGGTTCTGCCCCTTCCTGGCAGTGTGACTTGGGGCAAGTTGCTTGACCTCTCTGGTTCTCAGTTTCCCCAGCTCTACAATGAGACGTGTTCACTTCACCCACCACTTAATCCTAGTCTGGAGTGTGAATTTGCCACAATGTCTAGCATTCAGAGCCAAATTCCCCAGCAACCGGAAGGTTGAGTTCTGGGGGAATCCCTCTCCTCCTGTGCGGTGATGCCACTATTTGGATTTACATTGAGTTAATTGCACCAGCTGTGTCCAAGAGAGGTACCCAAGAAGTCCCCACATTCCAGGTTCAGTGAATCCTCCCTCTTTTTTAAATATTTTAAAATTTTTTTTAAATATTTTAAAAATTAAATATTTTTATTTTAGACTCATTCTGATTTACAAACAAGTCGTAAAGACAGTTTCCATCTACCTTTCACTCAGTTCCCCCCAATGTTAACACCTCATCTCTCCATGGTACCCTCACAAAAACTAAGAAATTAACCTTGGAACCTTGGTGTATTACATACCACAGACTCTATGCAGATTTTCCCAGTTTTTCCACTAATGTCTATTTTTCTGTTCCAGTCTAGGATGCCACATTGCATTTAATATAATCCCTTTTTGTAACCCAAACCCAGTTCCGGGGGATCTCACTGTTCATCTGCTGTTCAGCCCCTCCCAGACTCTTCCCAGTCCTGCCAGGGGGACTGGCTGGACTTCGAGGGATGGGATGGCTCTGCTCTTACTCCATCTGCATTTCCACCTGTCTTTTCTATAATAGTGGGCACCTGCCCTTATACATTTGTCACAACCCATAAAATGCATCACACCAAGCATGAACCCTGATGTAAAACTGTAAAACTTTTTAAATACCATTTTACTAGCCACAGAACATCACCATGAATTACAGTGACTTAGTTTACATAACCTACTGTTGACATGTAGAGCATTTCTCCTTTTTGTTGTTATAAATAATGCTACATGAATAAATAAATATATAGCCTTTGTCCACCTCTGAAATTGTATCTTTAGAGGAGACCTAGAAATGAGATCCCCGGATCAGAGTGCAAAACATTGTAAGGTTTTTAACACACATTAACGTGTCTTGCGATTGACACTTCTGCCCTGATCAGTGCCCTTCCAGAACCGAACATTATCTTTTTCTTCACTTTAGGAAAATATTTGACGCCCAGCTGGTGGGGAGATTTGGGACCATTGGCCCTGTGTGTATACCTAACCCTGTCGCATGAACAGCTAGCAACGATGCCTGTGTTTTGAAGCCAGGAAGGCAGCAGCTGCTTTTGTTCAAGAGTCCAGCTACCATGAGTGTGGGACTGTTCCTCGGCCAGAGATTGTCTTAAGAAAAGTTTGGCTAGCATTTTAAATTTGGCCATTTCCCATTAAAATCTGCGTTTCCCCTTTCTTTTGAAATTTGGAGGCTCTGGTTCCCTCGGCCTGCGTCCCTGCTCTGTAACCACAGGGCAGGGCTGACTGGCCCTCGGACAAACGAGATCTTAGTAACCACCACGCCCTCTTGTTTCCAGAGTATCAAAAGCGAGTCTGTTTAGCATCAGGCTTGCACTGTTAGTTTTCTTGCAGAGGGAAATACTTCTCTGGACCGACATCTATCAGAATTAGGGGGGGAAAAGTCAACAAAGAGAGTCAAACAATTTTTCTAACGTTGCTTTTCTCATACTCAGCCCACCCTGTTTATTTAGTCAGCTCCCTCATCAGGTTGCTCTCCTAAGCCCTGCTCCATTTAGAAATTCAAGAACTGCTGCTGCCTTGGGTGTCTTTTTCCATGCTTATTTAATTAAAGTATAATTTACATGCAGTAAAATCCATTGTCGTAATGTGCAGTTGTGTGAGTTTTGCCAAATGCATAGTCACACACTCACTGTCAGAATCCAGACACATTTGCACACCCATGTTCATAGCAACACTATTTATAAGACCCAAAGAGTGGAATCAACCTAGCGTCCTTTGACAGATGAATGAATAAAAAAGTGGCCTATCTATGCCATGGAATATTATTCAGCCTTAAAAAGGAAGGAAACTCTATCACATGCTACAACATAGATGAACTTGGAGAACATTATGCTAAGGAAATAATGCTAAAGGACATAATGCTAAGTCATGAAAGGACAAGTAATGTATGATTCCACTTACATGTGGTCCCTAGAATAGTCAGAAAGACATAAAGAAATAGCCACAGAGACAGAAAGTGGAATGGTAGTTGCCAAGGGCCTGGGGGAGGGGCAATGGGGAGTTAGTGCCTTACGGGTTAGGGCTTCAGTTTTGCAAGATAAAACAATTGGGGGGGGGGCGGGCGGGGGTGGGGGGGGGCGTTAATGGCTGCATTACAATGTGAATGCGCTTAACACTCCTGAACTATCGCCTGGAGATGGTTAAGGTGGTACATTTTATGTCACATGTGTTTTACCATTTTTTAAAAAATTCAAGACATGGTATAATTCATGGCCGCAAACATTCTCCTGAGCCCATTTGTAGTCAATACCACCCCATCCCCTGGAAACCATGAGCTGTTTTCCGTCCCTATAGTTTCTCCGTTTCCCAAATGTCACACAGTGGAACCATGCTGTGTGTAACCCTTTGATTCCGGCTTCTGTCACTCAGCACCAAGACTCTGAGATTCTACCATGTTCTTCCTGTCCTTGCATGTGTCGGTATATTGTTCCCCTTTATTGCTGAGTAGTATTCCATGGTGTGCATGTATAGTTTATTTATCGTTTCCCCAGTAGAGGGACATTTGGGTTCTTTGCAGGTTTGGGCAAATTTTTTAAAAAGCCTCTATAAATATCTGTGTCCATTCGTGTCTTTGTGTGGACATATGCTTTCATTTCACTTAGGTAAACTCCTCGGTGCGACATTGCTGGGTCATAGGGTGCGTGCATGTTTAACATTATGTGAAACTGCAAGACAGCTTCCCAAAGTGGTTGTACCATGTTACCTTCCCACCAGGTGTGATGAGAGTCCTAGGTGCTCTACATCCTCACCAGTACTTAGTATTGTCCATTTTTTTAATGTGTAGCCATTCTGATGGGTTTTTAAAAAATTTACAGATTTACAGGAAATTGCAAAAAACAGTACAAAGAAGTCCCATGTACCCTTCATCCAGTTTCTCCCAAAGGTAGCATCTTGTATAATTACAGTGCAATGTCACAACCAAAAATTGGCATTTCTTCTTAAAACCCAGAGCAATCCTAGTTGATTTCTCTAAAAGTGTGGGAAAATCCATCATTCCGGCATGGACACAGTGCCGTCAGCCTCTGGACCCCATGCCTATGAACAGCATGGTTGGTGGGCCGGGAGCTGGGTCAGGCCTGAGAAGTTACTGTTTGTCTCTGGACCTCTTTGCAGAGCACGTTCATCAACAGACCTGCCCTGGGAATCCTGCCTCCAGAGAACTTCGTGGAGAAGCTGCGGGAGTCCTTACTCTCGGTGAGTGGTGAGTCCATGGGAACAACCCTCTGCTGCTGGGACTCACCTCTACCTTCTGCCCCAGATCCCACCCCCACCCCCCACCCCTGCCCACACAGGAAAGGCAGTTCTGACCTCTAGGAGGCAGCACCAGCAGGAGAAGGAGAGGACTGAGATCCAGAACAATTAGGATGGGGTGTTTCTCTAGTCTTGCTCTTTGTGTTGATATTGCCACAAAAAGTATCATTACTTTTCCTTTTGAAGAAAAGAAAGGATACCTCGTATGCCAGAAAAACAGAATTCAGGAAAAATTAATAATTTGTTCCATGACAGGAGGTTTGCCTGTGATTCAGCCTGCATCAATGTTTCTGTTTCGGTCGTTACAATTAAAATTATTCAGAACCTCAATGTTCCATCTGCAAAATGTGGGTGCCTTAAGAGGTGGCAGTTGCACCAGGAGGGGTAGACTGGGCTTTGCTTCACCCTTTATTGCTCTCTACCCTCCAGCCTGGGCTTCTCCAGCACCCCAGAAGAGCCTAAGTCCACTTCCCCAGGCTGACTGCTTCTGGGATGTCCCTAGTTCCCTCCCAGCCTCTCTCTGCCTCTCACAGCTCCAGCTGAAGGAGGGAAAGTTGAGAGGGAGCTGAGCCCACAGCTATTTCTCTGCCAACAGGTGGCTCCCAAAGGGATGTCCCAGCTCATTACCATGGCCTGTGGCTCCTGCTCCAATGAAAACGCCTTCAAGACCATCTTCATGTGGTATCGGGTAAGGTTGGAGGCGCAAAGACACACACACACACAAACACACACACACACACACACACAAACACACACACACTGAGGTTCCCCACCACCCAGCCACACACTTATCCCCTAGTGCTACTGTTTATCCCAACTGGCTGGAGTAGTGGACACAGTGACCATTCTCAAAATCCAGAGGGGGCTGCTGCCTGGATGGGATCTTTCAAACATCCCAGTGTGGACTGGTGCAAAGAGCCAAGTAAAAAGTACACTCTTAAGAAGAATGAGCTCTGTATTTATTCTTAGCCCCTGGATTGGTCCAAGATGGTAATTGTCAGATGTCTGGCAGTCGAGACAATTCAACATTTTCTCCTTGAGGTCACTCTGAAGATTTGATATATGTCCAGGCATTGATGCACAATGAATGCACTAATGTACATCCAGGTATTGACATGGGACTGGGGAATTTGAAAGTTTAAGTCCCCAGAGTCAGTTACAACAAGAATAATCACTTCCTTATGCCTCAGCCCACTCGAAGTTAATAATGTGGCAGCTTGACCACAGTGACTCCATTTTATTTCTTCACTCCTCCAATCAACGTATAAGACCAACTCTTGAGAGAGCATTCTCTAATCGTCTGGACTAACTATGGCTTTGATTGCAAAATGGAATCTGCTCCTACCACAGAACGTCTCTAAGACTTTGTTCTGTTCTTTTTTGTCAGAACAAGGAAAGGGGTCAAACGGGTTTCTCCAAAGAGGAGCTGGAGACGTGCATGGTCAATCAGGTAAGTGGAGTGGGCCCTTTCTCCTCTTCCAAGAGGAAGCTGCCACAGTCCCTGTCAGCTAGTTAATGGACCCTGTCCTTCTCAAATAGTCAGCACAGATGGCCATAAGAAATGCCATAGACTGGGGTGGGGGGTGGAGGCTTAAACAACAGACCTGTATTTTCTCCCAGTTATGAGGGCTGGAAGTCTAAGGCGCCAGCCAATTTGGTTTCCTAGGGCAGGCTCCCTTCCTGATTTGCAGACAGCTGCCTTCTCACTGAGTCCTCCCATGCCAGGGAGAGAGTTAGCAAGCTCTCTTCTGCCCCTTTTTATAAAGACCCTAATCCCATCATGAGAACCCCTTCATGACCTCATCCAACCCTAACCACCTTCCCAAGGCCCCATGTCCAAATACCATCACACTGAAGTTAGGGCTTCAACATAAGAATTTGGGGAGACATAAACATTCAGTCCACAACAAGGGGACCCCAAGCATTCTGCCTCCCTTGTTCATTCCCTATGTATCAAGGCAAAGTGGAGCTCTTCCTGATCTAGGACAACTGCCTGAATTTAACCTAAGAGGGGCTTTAACGTAGTCTCTACAGTAATCCAAAATGTCAACACAAATGTATGTACAGGGGTTTTCAGTCCATTTATTGTTTAGAGGAACAATAACCAAAAAGACTGGAGACCACTTAATAAGGAAAGAGGAATTAAGTGTAGGGGTTCCCAGAGACACCGAGGAGGCCACTGTCAGGGCACAGCGGTGGTGGGTAACACAGGGAAAACCAAGTAGGTACATCCAAGCTCTGCGGACAGCTTCCACCAGAGCACACTTGCCCTGCCCCCTTTCAGATATGCAGTCCCATTATGATTTAGACAGAAATGTCTGCCGATTAAAAAAAAGAATCAAGGGCCACTGAACTCAATGATGCACTGTGAACATCCACAATATCCTGCAGCAAAAATAGTTAGAAAGGGTTGCTCTTTGCCTGGAGACACGCATACTATAACTTAGTGAAAACAGTGGAATGTAAATTGTATGGATAATGTAAATAAATGTACAGGAAATTACTACAAGAAATCCTGCTGACATGTTTATAATAGGATGCCTATCGGTGGTAAGATTGTTTTATTTCATTTTTTCCTTTTGTGCTTTATTAATTTTTTATTCCTAATCTCGCCTCTTGCTAGCAATAGACCTATACCTTTCTCCACATTCATACAAACTTAGATCAAGTTAAGCTTTTTCTTTTTTCTTCTGGGCATTTTTTTTTTAAAGAAATGGATCATGCCCTACCTCTTTCTCATTTGATGTCTGTGAACATCCTAGTCCACCAATACTTTTAGATATCATTCCTCCTGTTCAATGCCTACAGCCAAAGATGTGTGATGATGTGTGTCTATTGCAATACATGTATACAAGGGAACAAAGGAAATGTTTTCCTTCTTTAACAAAGGGAAATGACAAGACGGTATACTGGAGTTTGTGGGAGGAGGTCTTAGAGCTTCTCCCAGGGGTCTCAGGTGCCTGGTGGAGCTCAGCCAGCCTAGGAGCATGCTGCATCGAATTTCCAGAAACAAGGGGGTCCCCGTGGCTGCCTCTGTGGCATCCTCTGTAGTTCTCCCAGAGTCAGCTTGAAACAATTCTGATTCCTTGCCTGGTGGAGGGTCAGGAAACAATGTAGCTGTACCATCCATTGGGGACTGAGAGTTCAGATGTCCCTCCTGAACACAGGGACACCCACCCTGGGAAGACAGAAAGAGGAGAGGGGGGTCCCCCCTGGCCAGCCTCCCGCTCTGGCATAACAGACCTGGTCCAAAGGCCTGGGGCATTCATTCCCTGTGAGGTGCCCCGTTCAGCCTCCTGTCGTGGCCCACCTGGTCCACCTGGTTGCTGTGGAAGCCAGAGCAGTCTGGAGTGGGAGGAGAGCCTGTAGGAGTTGGAAGAGCCTGCAGAGAGAGGCTGAATATTCAAAAGGCCCAAGCAGCCCAGCAGGTGATGTGAAGGAGAAAGGTGGGCAGTGGGCCGTGGAGCTGCACACTTGCCCACACTTCAGGCTCAGGTGACAAAAATGGGCCCACATGGTGTAGAACTTGAGAGAAGGTATTTCAGATATTCATGTGAAATCTCTTGATTAAAAATAATTTTTAGAAAAGAATATTTTGGTGGACCATGTGGGTAAAACACCTGTTGGCTGACTATAGAGGTAGGGGTCCAGTTTGTAACTTCGGTCTGAGGAGAGACCCCCAGTTCTTCTAATAGACTTTGGTGTTCCTTCACGCCCTTGGGGCAAACCAGAGTTCCCCATTCTCACCGCTGTGATTGATGATTGCAATTTCTTATTTCTAGGCCCCTGGCTGCCCAGACTACAGCATCCTCTCCTTCATGGGCGCGTTCCACGGAAGGACCATGGGTAAGGAGAGACCACTGGGATCCCAGGTGACAGAGTGATAATAGAAGCAACAATAGCGAAGGCTGACTTTGATCTTACTTTCCCCACCTTGTCTCATTGACTCCACACCGCTCTGCAGAGTGGGGATCGTTGTTGCCATTTTGCAGATAAGGAAATAGAAGCTCAGCAAGGAAACGTTCCAAGGCCATATAGTGGCAGAGCCAGGATGAACCTTTGTCCCCCTGCCTTCAAAGCCCATGTTTAATCTGTGATGAATGACAATGCACACACACATACACAAATGACTCACAGGTTCTGCTTCAGCATGTTATAGGAACTCTAGAGGCAGGTGAGGTCTTGGCTTGAAATGCTCATCATCTCCTTTTTGAAGACTGTTCACTGTGTTCTCCTAAGCCAACCAACCGATCTTCTGTTTTGGGGGGGCCTAGGTTGCCTAGCGACCACGCACTCCAAAGCTATTCACAAGATCGACATTCCTTCCTTTGACTGGCCCATTGCACCATTCCCACGGCTGAAGTATCCTCTGGAGGAGTTTGTGAAGGAGAACCAACAAGAAGAGGCCCGCTGCCTAGAAGAGGTAACACCCAGATTTTCCAGACCCTTCCCACATCCCCATTCACTTACCCTCGCCACCCCAAGACTTCGCTCTGAAGAATAGGACCCAACAGTTTATCTCGGGCCTGCATGGCACTCCCTAGGACACTCCCTAGGGACAGAGAGGCCTCCTATTTTGATGTTCCATACAGGGAAAGGCAATGACACATTGATTTTGCCACCCAGTATCCATCACCCCATTTCTGGTACCAATTTCAGTATCATTCGAGTTTCTTCGAAGGCAAGCATCGGTGACTCTAGAATAAGAGAAAATGAATTTATGTGAAGAATATGGGGCAGCTCATAGAAAAATTTGCACAGGATTCTCTAGTTCACTGTTTTCCATCCTTCTCCCAAATCCCATGGCTGCTTTGGGAGCCTAGGGGTGCAAGGGGCAGGGGAGGGACTCCACTTCAACCAGAAGAGCCTGAAAGGTCAGTGCACCTCCTTTGATCTGTTCCATATATTGGGCTTCCATGTAAGACACTAGAACGATCCTGTTGCTGGGGGAAATGGCTTTCACTCTTCAGGCTGGGATTTGAGCTCAAATAAGGCTAATCTGAGGCTGGTTTGCATCTGAGGCACATCAGTTGTTTCAGGTAATAGTTAATACCTACCAGGTGTGAAGCAAGGTACTAGGTGTGAAGCAGAGCGCAAGATGCTGGATATTTTGTGGTTAAAAAAAAGAGACAACATAATGGAGTCTAGTACAGCCTGTCCAATAGAAAGATAAAGCAGGCCACAGATGTCATTATAGCTTTTCAAATAATCACATCTTTTAGAAGTAAAAAGGAATGGGTGAAATTAATTTTAATAACATTTTATGGAACCCAATACAGCCAAAATACCATCACATCAACATGTAATTAATACTCAAAAATTATTGATGAGATAGTTTTATATTCTTTTCTTCATGTTAAATCTTTGAAATCCCATTTGTTTTACACTCAGACACATCTCAGTTTGGACCAGTTACATCACAAGTGCTCAGTAACCCCACATGGCTTGTGCCCATCTTATTGGAGAGTGCAGAGTAGTAGGAAACACAGCACTGACGAGTAAGAAAATAAGCACCTAACGACAACTTGCAAACGACTCTCTGAAAGCAAAGACATGTATCTCTGAAAGCAAAGACGAGAGCTCCCATGGGGGACTGGTGGAGACCAAGGCCTAAATCACATCATCCGAACTGAACGTTTTTTCCTCAGTTCTGTGTAACAGAGAAAGACTGTCCTTTGTTCTCCTATCTAAGTGTATAGTTTGGGGTTTTTTAATTATGTATAATTATTAAATTATTAATAGAGTGTCACAGTTACTACCCTTTAATTATGTATAAGATGGTGCCCATATTGCAACAAGAGTTCAAGAACTATAACCACTTAGAGACAATCAGGTGCTTTTCTTACAACCCTGTCACTGTTAACAGATATTTTAAAAATCAATTTCAACTTTATTAACATAATTTATATGCCATAAAATGCAGTCATTTAAATGCCTAGTTCGATAAGTTTTGACAAATAAATAAATATGCTCATGTCACCATCACTCCAATCAAGGGCATCTTATCAGCCTGGAAAATGTCCTTGGATCCATCTGAAGAGTCAGTCCAGGACCCCACCCCAACCCCACTCTGCTCAACCACTGCTTGGATTTCTATCACTATAGATGAGTTTTGCCTCAGCTTTTTAAACAAATATTCATCCCAGCTTCTGCACAGAAAGTACTCTCCTACCAATAATAATAATACAACAATAACAACAATAGATTCTGTCAGCATGTCCATGGTACAGATCAGGAAAGTGAGGCTCTACATTAAATAACTTGCTCCAAGTTAGCAATCTGTATGCACGCAGAGGCTAGCACAAATCCTAAGCAGGACACATCACCATCCACATGTGTGGCTTGGAATGGATATCACAGTGCTCATTGGAAGTGCTTACACACACTTTGCAACTTAACTTCCAGGGGGTTGCAGGACCCCACATGCCCACCCTTGGGTGCTGCTCCAGGAGCCTCCACACCCATTGTCATTTCTCGCTTCTGAATCCAGGTGGAGGATTTGATTGTGAAATATCGGAAAAAGAAGAGGACAGTGGCTGGGATCATCGTGGAGCCCATCCAGTCTGAGGGGGGAGACAACCACGCATCTGACGATTTCTTCCGGAAGCTGAGAGACATCTCCAGGAAGGTCAGTGCACCGGCCAAGGCTGGATGGGGCCACAGGCCATTTCCAGCTGGTTTCCCAAAACAAAGGGTTAGTTCTGGGATCCTTGTAAACTTTCAGATGTTCAGAGGCTGCCTATTGGCCTCACGGGGAGAGGAGTGAGAGGAACGGGGACAGTACAGAGAATTCTTCCCTGAAATCTTATTGCAAAACCAGCCTCCATCCAGCCTGCAGCCTTTGTCAGTGGCTTTTTATAATCCAGATATTCCTGGGAAGGCCTCAGCCTCCACCCCTTCCTTTCTAGAGACCCCCCTCACCTTTCAGCCCAGTGTGGCCCACATGCAGCAGAGGCAAAGTGAACAGACTTTTATGTTAATACCGTGTTTACCTTAATGTCTTACATGTACAAATGGTACATCCAACCAGCAAGTTCACAGATGAAGGTTATACGACATGGCTTGACTTAAACACAAACGCTAAGTAAAGGACAGTTCTGGTGATGAGCAGAACTGCCAAACGTGACAGCAGATGTTTGGGAGACAGGGCCAGGACTCACTGCGGGGCCACGATTCCTCCGGAGTAGGTCAGCTTGCTCAGGGACTGAAGCCAAGCGGAATGCTGCCGTGCTTTGCATCAGGGCCTGTTCGACATTCTGGTTTGGCTCTGGCTCGGCAGCTGGAGGAAGTGTTCGGACACAGCTCTGGTGGCACTGCCTGCTTAAGCATTTGTTTAGTTTTGCCCCAAAACATGGACTTAGCTTGCAGTTTAGAAAGCACGGACTCTGGCTGGATGACTGGGTGGGCGGTTGGTCGATTGTGGCGGGTGTGTGTTCCTCCCTCCTCTCCCTCCAGCATGGCTGTGCCTTCCTGGTGGATGAGGTCCAGACAGGAGGGGGCTGCACTGGCAAGTTCTGGGCCCACGAGCACTGGGGCCTGGATGACCCTGCAGATGTGATGACCTTCAGCAAGAAGATGATGACCGGGGGCTTCTTCCACAAGGAGGAGTTCAGGCCCAATGCTGTGAGTGCCAACTCCACCCTTCTCTCCTTTCCGGGACGGGGGAGGCAGATAGGTGAAGCAGCGTTGCTTCTTCCAAACTGCGCCTTTCTCACAAACCAGGCACTGGGTGGACACTTAATGTGTCACCAAAGTTTTCTAAGGCCCAATTCTTATCGATTTATTTAGCCAGTGATTACAATCACTCCTGATCTCTGCAGGGCTGATTTCATATCAGTCTGTTGTCAGCCTTCTAATTGTTCTGTGTGTTAATAACTGCTGCTGGAAACTGGGCGCTTCCTCTGTGCCTGGCCCAGTTCTAAGTACTCTTCATGTACTTTTAATCTTTACAACAATCTAACCAGGTGGTTGTTATTTTTCTCTCCCATGTCATTAATGAGGAATCCGGCAGAGATTGGTTAAGTAAGTTGGCCAAGATCACATAGCCCATTAACTGATAAGCTAGGATTCAAACCCAGAGAGCCCTGCTCTCAGCTAGTACGCTGTACTACCACGTGTAATATGGATTCTCATACACATACACACGCAGTTACCAGGGACTTAGGATCCTTCCTTCCACCATTCCTGAATGTAGTTTCCATCCTTGAGGATGCTTCATGTCCCAAAATGGCTACTAGAGCTCCAACCTTCACATCCCCATTCTTGGCAGTAAGAAGGAAAAAGGAGGGAAGCACAAAGTGACCCTCTCCTTACCTTTAGTGGCTTTCCCAGAGATCCCACAACTCTTCTATTTCTAACACTGTCACTCAGTTCTGGTCACATGGCCACTCCTAACTGCAAGAGAAGCTGGGAAGTATGTTTTAGTTGACTGCACTGACACCCTGAATAATTCATGGAAGAATAAATTGGGTGGTCTTTGAGGGCCAGACTGCCATCAATCCACTCCTGAGTCCACCACCTATGCGCTATATTTTTTTCTGGAAGAATCGCTTAACCTCTCAGAACCTCAGCTTCCTCCTCTATAAAACGATTAGAGTTAAGAGCCAAGTGTCTTCATTTCCCCAGGACGGAGGGATTTCCCGGCACACGAGGAATCAGTCTCTGTGATAGTCATACTAATAATCAAACCTCCTACAGGACTGCTGTTATGGAGAGAATTCAATGAGATAATCCTCCTCAGCCCTTAGTAGATGCTCATTGGGTTAGTTTCTCTCTTAACTGGGGGACAAGGTGTGCCTCGGGGGAGTGGGCCCCTGAAGGGTGTGCCCATGTGTAAACCTTTCCAACACCCTGTGCCTTGTTCCAGCCGTACCGGATTTTTAACACCTGGCTGGGAGACCCATCCAAGAACCTGCTGCTGGCCGAGGTCATCAATGTCATCAAGCGAGAGGACCTGCTGAGTAACGCAGCCCATGCTGGGAAGGCCCTACTCACGGGGCTGCTGGATCTCCAGGTACCCACCCAGCCCGGTCACACCTCAGCTCTCTCAGGACCCCACCCATAGCTCCCACGGTCCCCAGGGCAGCATCTGAGCCCGTCAGCATGGCAGCGCACCTGCTCCTCCAGCGGGGGCAGAGGCAGGAGCTCCAGGGACCACCCCCTGCCCCCAGGCAGGGGTGCCAGGTTTAGCAAATGACAACACAGGGCGCCAGTTTAATTTTAAAAACAGCGACATCTTTGTTTTAGCATAAAAGTATACCCCATGCAATCTTTGCACATAGTTACACTAAAAAGTTTAAGTTGTTTATCTGAAATCAAATTTAACTGGGCACCCTATGTTTTATCTGGCAACCCTAACTCAAAACAATTTGAACTTAGGAAGATATGATTATTTTCATTTTCTACATGTGAAAAGGCAGTTTGGGAAGGTGAGCAGCAGCAAAGGAGCCAGATTTTAAACCCAGATATGCCTGATTGCAAACTAGTGCGCCTATAAAGACAACATAGACCTTCTGGGTAAAATTTCTTTTTCTTTTCTTTTTTTTAAATTATATTTTACTGATTATGCTATTACAGTTGTCCTGAATATTCCCCTTTTACCCTCCTTCACCCAGTACGCCCACTCCCTCAGTTAATCCCCCTACTGTTGTTCATGTTCATGGGTCATGCGCATAAGTTCTTTGGCTACTCCATTTCCTATACTGTACTTTACACCCCCATGGCTATTCTGTGACTACCTATTGTACTCCTTAATCCCCTCATGTCTCTACCTATTCCCCCACAACCTCCTACCATGTGGCAACCATCAAAACAGAATCCGTATCCATGATTCTGTCTCTGTTCTTGTTTGCTTAGTTTGTTTTTTAGATTCAATTGTTGTTAGGTATATATTTTTGGCCATTTTATTGTTCCTAGCCTTGATCTTCTTTTTCTTAAATAAGTCCTTTTAACATTTCATGTAATAATGGTGTGGTGATGACGAACTCCTTTAGTTTTTTCTTGTCTGGGAAGCTCTTTATCTGCCCTTGGATTCTAAGTGATAGCTTTGCTGGTAGAGCAATATTTGCTGTAGGTCCCTGCTTTTCATGACTTTAAATATTTCTTGGCAATCCCTTCTAGCCTGCAAAGTTTCTTCTGAGAAATAAGCTGATAGTCTTATGGGAACACCTCTGTAGGTAACTACTTTTCTCTTGCTACTTTTAAGATTCTCTCTTTATCTTTAACCTTTGGCATTTTAATTATTATGTGCCTTGGAGTGGGCTTCTTTGCTGAGTGCTAATCACAATATCCAGTAGAGTGAGGAAATTATCTGGGGCTGGAGAAAGCACCACCACAAGGATGGGGGGAACGGGACTCGTCTGTGTTCCCTCACGCCATAGTGGAAAAGCCTCCTAAGTCACGGCACTTCAGGCTGAGAACTCAGACAGGTGCTGCCTCCGTTACGGGGATGAATTAGCTCCAAACTAAAAACTGTTGCGCTCCCACCCCACAAAGCTTACAAAGGAAGCCTGGAGAAATACAAATTATTGCCAAGTAACTTAACTGTGCCCCACAACAAAGGTTAAGAACAGTCAACGCCCAACAAGATCAAAATCACAGTGGCTGGCATCCATTAAAACATGACCAGACATGCAACGAAGCTGGAAAATACAGCCCGTGATAAAGACAAAGGTGACTCAACAGAAACAGACCCAGAAATCAGAGGTGACAGAATTTGAAGACAAGGACGTTAACTCATCACTAACTGTATGCCATTAACTTCAGAAAGGTACCGAGATGCCAATAAGCACATCAAGAGGTGACCACCTCACCATCAGGGAAATGTAAAACGACAACCAAGATAGCGCCTCACTCTCACCAAAATGTTCAGTCTGATAACTTACAGCTCTCACACACTCCTGGGGGAGGACGGGTGTGTGAAGGTGATAAACCACTTGGGGAAACTCGCTGGCTTTATCTATTCAGTTGAACATATGTGTGCCCTGTGAGCCACCAATCCCACTCACAGTAAATGGAAATTATGTGCACCAGAAACAGAAAAAGCCACGGTCAAGGACCTCACGCCTAACAGCCTCACGCTAAAAACCATTCAGGTATCTCTCAAGAAAAGCGGATTCCAAAACTCTTGTAATGTATCCTCAAAGTAGAATATCGTAAGTCAATGAAAATGACCAAATTATTGTTACTCCAAGGATAGGTGAAACTGCAGAGACATAATGCAGAGCAAAATCAATGAGAAAGACAGTACCTCCTATGTAAATATTTTCAACATGCAAATATAACGTGCACCGGGGTGTTAGAAACCCAAACAGTGGCTTCCTCTGAGGCGGAGGCAGCGACTGGGAAGGCCCGAGGTAGGGCCGGGTGTGCCAGCAAAGTTATTTCTTGACCTGCTTCTTCACTCCGTGGGCTGTACGCTCACCATGTGGCAGTTTGCTGCCGATGCCGAAGTCTAATCAGAAGCACTGGTGCGATAAAATATTAAACCGCAAAGAAATGATGAGAAGGTCAGCAGGCCACTGTGTGCACAGAACTTACTGTTTTTCTTTCCTTTTATGCTCAGCTGGATGTCATAATAATCCTCTCTTCTATCGGATCGATAGTCCACCTCTTTACACTGGATATAGGACTGCAAACACGGGAGAGACGGCACAAATATTACTAATCAGCAAATTGGTCACATTTTAAAGTCTTTTAAAACCATTCTTTTAAAGCGATGATCACATACCACCATTTTGCCTCTGAATAGTTTAGGTATGGTGCCTTCTACACATGTGCCTTTCATCTTATTCTCCACGTTATCAAGCAACTGGAAGAGAAAGTTTTGGCTTTAAGAAAATGGTATGCTTCATTAATATACAGTAATTTGCAACGTCGCTAGGAAATTTCAATGGCCCAAGAAATTCTAAGACTATGTACATAGTATGACCTTTGGCATGCAATTATCAAAAACATACAAAATCTTCTTTCTTGGTTGGATATTTACAAAAATATCTACATGCAACAGTTGAGATTAACTCTCTATACAGCCTTCGGAATGAATTAGTAATCTGTAGTGCCTTTAGAAGCATTTTTTATATTCATTTTACCTCTGTGGAAAAGCATGTAAATTGAGCACTAAACTTAACTCGTATTGGTCCACACCAAGAGATTAATGAGGTTGAGCCTGTCAACAGGATTGACTGGTTTGTCCATGGATATTTAATGAACTGGATTCAATCCAGCTAGTGCTGCAAAAAAGAAAACACACCTTGCCCAGCCAATCACCTTGAATAGCCATGTCATGTTGTACGTGTGTTTGTGCGTCTTTCATCACAACGGAAAGAATGGGAATTTGCTACTGACTAAAGCTGGTGTTGGGGAGAATCACTCACACAGAGGTCTGCCTCTATCAGGACTTCTGTGCAAACAAGGGGTCTGGATGCTGCAGGGTAATAACAGAAGTCACTCTTGCAAATTAAGCCGGGTACAGCCAGAACAGCTACTTAAGCCAGTAACAACCTAACAAGTAGGTAGTCCAAGGAACACCTCATCCTACTGCTCTTTAAACTCAAGTTTCCCCCGCAAACTTCCCTCTCAGATCATTCTTTTCATTCTTTCTGGCTTTTCAACTATATAAACGCTGCTTTTTCCCTTCTAGCCTAGTTTTGGCCCTGGACACACATGGGCGTATCGGAATTAGGGCGACCTGAAGCAGGTCTGAGGTTTTACTTGGTAACAACTTCTGACAGTGCTTCCAAATATTAAATGTCAGTAGTATATAATTACAGCTGAAAACTTACCACTCGGCATAGCTCTTGAACATCGTGTTGCATGAAGCTATCTAAAGTTTCCCACCTTGGAAAGATAAAATGTACATTTACGTCAAAACTGCCAAATTTCAAATAAGAGTACACTAACAAGCAGCTAAGGTTCAAAAACTACACTGTAGAATTGGCCATTACTCTTAAACTCATTTTCTGAGAAGATTATTTTGGGGGTTATAATTCAAAGATAAAGTGACATCCAATGTATCAGGACATCCAAATGCTCACAACTCTATCTTGGCCTAAACAACTTACTGCAAGGGGAAGGCGCATTTGCAAGTAAGTGTATGAGGGGTGCCCCAACAAAACTAGAATTTATTTTTTTTAAATTGTGTATTTATTCTTACAGGTTTAAACGTCAGTCACCTTCAAACTACCCTCCGTTGGATGCATATACCTATCGAGACGTTGTTTCTCCACTGTTCAAAACAGTTTTTGAACGTGTCGGTTTTGGTGCCTCTTAGTGCTTCTGGGGTTTGTTTGTTTGTTTGTTTCACCTCTTCCACATGCTCAAAACATTTCCTTTCGAGGACTTTTTTCATCCACAGAAACAAACAGACGAAAAAGTCGCTCGCGGTAGTATCAGGTGAATAGGGAAGGTGGGGCACAGGGGTTAGGTCTTTTTTGGTCAAAAACTGCTCAACACTCAGAGCGCTATGGGCGGGTGCACCCATAAATCCCCCGCCATGAAATGGGCAAACACGGTGAGAGTCTTCAGAAATAAAATTCCCTGAGGCCGAACACAGCCTCTCACACCACCACCTGGTGCACTGATCTAGATGGGTTCCCAGAACACTCACCTAGCAGGGGAAACCTGTACTACAAGGGGACTGCCCTCCAGAAGATAATTCCAGTTTTGGTAGGGTGCGTACCCTGTTGTACATTTGTTTAAAAACTATACATGTCCTTTAAGTGGTAGATTATTCCTCAAGCAAGCTGATATTTCCAAAGTGGTCAAATGAAATACAATGACAAAAACACTCTGACATAATCAGACACCTACACTGGGCTTGCAATTCTTCTCTCAACTCACTCATCCTTAAAGAAAGCAGCAGAAAGGAAAGGCAGATTTCCAATACATACCCGAATGACTTTGTTAGCTTCTTTGTTCCTACAGGCTTATCGCTGTGCTGCAGTTCGTAGAACACTCTCTGTAATGCTAAAGGGACGCTCTTGGATGAATCATCACCCTCTGTTGGCATCATGTAAACGGCCTAAAAGAATTAAGAGAGAGAAATGAAATCGGATGTGACAGTATCACTCCTAATATCACAATGGCTACTGTGCTTTAATTAAGGCTTTTAATTATGCCCTACATAGGTCAGAAAGTTTCTTTTATTTGAAGTCATGAAAGTCTTTAGAGACATTCTAGAAAACACAAGATGGAAAAAAACAATTATGTTTTAATTACCTATAGCTCACCATCCAAAGAGAACCACTTTCATGTCCTACTTCTCAGAGCAACATTTTTAAACTTAACATTCCTTATAAACAAAAGGTTTAGTGAAACAAATGCTACCGACATTACCCACATTTACTAGCCCCAGGATATATCCTACCATGGTAACTGACCAGAAGAACACTGCAAACATAAAAGGAAAGCCAGCAGACCAGCCAGCGCTGCCCCTACAACCAGGAGTCCGTGTTCTCTGCACTGCTCCATGCTGCTCACATGATTTCCTAAACTACGATGACTCTTTCGCCTACACTACATTCCAGGGAAGTCTATTCTGATTTAAATAGTCTTACAAAAAATAAGTTTTATCTATAATGGGGAAAACTAGATTTCGTAGCCAGTTTTCTGACTGACCAATTTTTCATACAAAACTTTTCAAATGTTGCTAATGGCTTTTATATTGCGGGGAACGGGGCTGCGGGGAGGGAATCCAAATACTTCTAGCTCAAAGTTAAGACTGCTAGCTATAGTGAACTTTTCACCACCCCGGTTAGCTGTAAGTGTCCAAACACTGAGAACTAAAGATATGCGCAAGCACAAAATAGGGGCCTCTCTGGAGACAGCTCTGTAGTAGGAGAGGACAAGGCAAAGTTTGGCGAGAACTTTGCTTGTCCCTTAATACTTGAGAGAAAAGGGTGGGTGGAAGGTTGAGGAGAGAAATACCATCCATTTACCTTTCGTAGTTGATTTGTGAAAAATAAAGTCTGCAGCAGGCTGTTCATGTAACAAGTCGCTCCCTGATTCTTTAAACCGACATAGCCCGTGTGCTTCTTTGAATCCCACCTACAAGATCAGTTTGAGGTTGAGGGAAAACTGCACAGGACACCTCCTTGCTTCTGCAACGTGTGTGGAGCGATTCAGCTATGGCTGACATTTCACTGCTATTTCCCACCATCCTGACACAGGAATGAAGGCTGAGCACCCCTCCAAGTTAATACCTCATCACCAGGCCCGTGGCACTAGGACGCCAAGGCCGAGAGGTCTTATCACAGGGCTCCCTTTAATGGTCATTGATTCTGTCCGCCCAAGTGCATGGACCACTGCTAATTCAACCCCAGCTTTCAAGAAGCACCTTAGAACACCGTCTGCTGAGAGCAGCACGGCCATCACTTACCAAGGTCAGCACTCACAGGTACAAACTACATTCTATATACTTGTACCAAACTGACCCCCAGTGTAGTTCTAGTACATCCACGTTAGGCCGCAGGTAGCCAGCAAGAAATGGAAACCGGTGAGACCCCTCATTTCTCTAGGCAATACCCAGGAAAAGACACACATGTATACTGGCAGGCTTTAATGCAGATTTCAAACATCTAGAACCTTTTCTTATTAGTCCTCTATAATGCAAAGCCCATAAACAAACATGATCAGCACTGAGTGTGACCAATCCTACTGTGAGGTCAAGGTCAACAGTACACTGCTTCCAGGGGTTGTGAGTCCACATCCCTGCAAACACATTCAGATGTGTCAAACGGCCCCAGTTAAAGTTCATGTGCGTGTTTACATCATTTTTTAATAAATGGCAATGGAAAATATACAGTAAAAATAATTATTTTAAAAATAGTTTTTAAAATGTCAAGAGAAAGCAAGAATCCTGAATTACAGATGGTTATTTGAAAAAGTATAATCATAAAGATTTAGGAGATAAGGGTTGAATAAGTTGTGACAAGTTTGGCTCAACCAATAAATCTCTTTTGATTGGTAATGCCGAAAACCCAATCTACTTTTTGAAGTCAAGGAATACAGCAAAAATTTCTTTAAATGAAGCGGGAACAGGAACCCACAAAATTTTAATTAGAACTCTCTTGTTTTCACCCCCTACTTCTGGTATTTGAATACAACATAACTGCATGTTTTGAAAAGGCTACTCAAGAGAAGCCTGATTCCTCCAGTATCAGTCCAATTAACATAAAGCTAAGAAATGTAATTTGCTCTTAAATAAAAAAGAAATTCCCCGCGCCACCCGCCGGCCACGTTAGCCAGGATCTGGACTAACTAGTAGCTCCTTCATGGCCACCCCACTGCTCCTGCCCTCTTCCATCAGGGTCGACCAATGCGCTCCTGACCAAGAGTAAGGCCACGTGGAAACAAAACACAGCAACCCAGAGAGTGGTACCTGTCACTTAACTGCTTCCTAGATAGAGTGTTACAGTCTCACCCTGGGCCTTCAAAGGCTGGTCTTCCACAACCTGCTCCCAACTTACCACCTCAGTTCCACTCTTCAACTTTCCTCACGTTCCGCCCAATCCCAGTCTTTCTCGCTGGTGTCTTTACTCGTGTCGTTCTCCCTGCCCTGAATTCCACTGCCCCACCTTGTCAACCAATAACCCAATACGCTCTTTAAGGCCAGCTTCCTCTTGCGCACAGACCTTCCTGGCCGAGTGACGGAAGCAGAAGCAGAAGCATCTCCTTGCAGGCCCACCTCTCAGCTCTATGGTACCCCACTCACTACCTCATCCGCGCAGCGGCGCTCCCACCAGCACGCATGGAAATCCCTGACCTCTTCAAAATAAAAACAGCGCACCTCCTGCTGTCGTTTTTTATGTACTGGTCTTGCTCCTTTACCTGCGCAGCCTGTACCTTCGAGGACAGAAACCCAACGCTGTCTTGTCTTGTTGACCATATGATTATATTAGCAGTGCCCAGCAGGGTCTGGCATACAGAAACTGTTCAATAAATCGCTAAACACAGCAGGGAATGTGAAGCTGCCATACGGGTCCGTACGTTCCACGTGTGCCAAGGGGCAAGCACAGAGAGCGTGCTTATCTGTGGAATCATGCATTTCTGATCACGTGCAAATGTTGCTCTCCCTCCAGCACAAAACATGTTTCTTAACAGCACCCAAATAAGGAAAAACTTACGCAACTCCATGGGGAGCATCCGCCTGTACAAAGACTTCAAAAGTCACTTTGTCATCATCTATAAATCCTTTCTCAGGATCAGTCACTTCCTATTAAAAAATAAGAATATCTAACTTACATAAAATCACACAAATGCTCACTTCATTCCAAAGAGACAATTATCCTAGTGTCATGTACTTTAGTAAATTAAAATACAACTTTTCAAACACCCAAATTATGCTTCTAGTTTTGCAGTGTTTTGGTTGTTTTTAAGTGTTCTCTGACCAAGAGGAAGCATCCCAGAGGCACTGGGGGTGCAACACCATAGCATGGAAATTGAGGGGCGAGTGCAAGCTCATCACAGCAGGGCTGGGGAGGTTCCAGAGAACCCATGGCAGGAGACTGAGCAGGACAATCCTAAGCACATTTCCACCTCTGCAAAAACAGCCAAAGTAAACTCATAAACTCGATAACTCATGAAGCTTCATGAAACCACCCCACACTCTGCCTGACTTAGGGAGGGACCCCAACTGGTATAATTTGTTTTTTAAGGAAATTTACCTATCATGAATGGTACTGGCTGCCTTACAATGTTTGATAAAATTGAGATCTGAGTCCTGCTGGCTGCATATGAATTAGCTAGGAAAAGGAAAAAAATAAAAAAACCCAAAAGCAACAACAACATACAGATGACTGTGCAACTTATGAAACAAATAGTATGATTCTAAAATGAATAGAAGGCAATATGTCAAGGTAGTTTTGCTGCTTAGACCGTCATCCCAAGATAACAAGGAAGTAATTTCAATATGTAGTCAGGACACTTACCAAAAAAACCAATCAATGAATGTATAAACAAGTGGAACAACAAACTGATATCTCTCCAAAATCAATAATCTGTAAATTAATCGAATGGAGGGCTACTAATAACAGATGTAAGGGAACAAAGAATTATTCTCAGATAATTATTCAATATAAATCTACTGTTACTTACACTCCAGGCCATAAAATTGGAAAATCCCCAATCATTTTCTTTATGGAAGAATAAATGACTAATACGACGGCTGAATGACTTCTCCTCATCTCTGTAATTTGTTATCTTCAGCACTGCTTGTGCATGACAAGACCACGACCTGTTTAAAGAAAATAGTCTAAGCCTTCGGTGACATATTTCATTGATGTTTATGTATTTTTAAAAACACAGCGCACAAAAATTCCTGTATTTTTTAATCTTCTTTTTTGCAGGGGCAGGGTGGGTTCCTGGGAAGCATATGTACCTTTAGAGGAGAAAAGGGCTAAGAAGGGTTAAGAGTTCCAATATGTACTTACTTAACTTATGGCATTATTTATTTTTGAATTTTTCAAAAGCTTGTCAAGTATTTCATTTGCTATCTTTAAATACACGTCGAGATTTTATAGGAGACTATACTCTTTGGGTCAGATTATAATTCTATGGATATCATTTTAAAAGGGCAGGAAAAAAAGAATGACGAAACTCCTATTTCTAAATGAACAGACTTAAAGCTCTAGGTTCTACTAACAAAGGTGTCACTTTTAAGCGACACTCCCGCCCCTGGTAGCTTATAGGTACTGTGGCTGTCACGTTCTCAAAAGCACCTCGGACACAGGCCTCTGGGCAGGGCTGTACCAGGGGCTCCTGAGAAACGCTGAGCATGGGTGCGGAGTCACGGCCACGAGAGACATGACCGCAGATGCTGTCCGTCACGCTTGGGGCCTCTGGATCAATGCTGAAAAACCAGAAGATAGGCCACTTTTAAAGCCCACTGCAAGGTTTACAAAGAAAGCAGAGCTTATAAAGGAATGTGAGGACCGAACTTTGAACGGACTGCAAACTCACTGACACGCCTAGAGGAGCAGTGCCGGCACGTCGGCACTTCCACTTGCTCAGGGTCCTTACGCTGAACACGGACGACTCCCCACGTTTCCAAACACTGTTCAGGCTAGCTGTTACGGCTAGAATCTAGTCCAAACACTCATCAGATCAGACCGTAACTTGAACAGAGGAAGAAAAATCTTAACCTACATACAGCCCCAACTGTACCATAAAATGGGCTTAGCACTTCTTAAACATTCAAGTGAAAAGGAAAATAAAATGAGTTGTATTCCCTGGAGTTTTGATAGAACTGCTAGAGCCAGTGTCCTGCGGGGAACAAGCTTCCCTGAGGGCACCAAAGGGCCACAGTCTGCACGTGGCAGGCAGACAGGGCAGATGTGGTCCAGGGAGGTGGCTTGGCAGCAAAAGTGGTCTGGAATCCCTTCAAACATTGTCAGCTGTGGGTTATGCTAATCGTTGAACAGTGATAGTTTTTTAATCAAAGGGAAGAAGAGCCAAACAACTTTGAATTCATCAGAACAGAGGAACAATGAAGAAACTTAATTTTAAGGACATTTTACAGTATATCTCTTTATATAAATTACATGAATAGAGAAATTAAAAAAAAATAAGTTAGGCTGGCACATGCTACAGAACCCTCGAATGTTTCATTCTGACTTGTTTTAATAATGTATAGGAACTGATTCACACACAATGAGAAAGATGTCAGCCTAAACAATTTTTCTTACCTAAAATTTTCCTCTTGAAGAGTAACTGGTGAACAAGAATTAAGCCTAGTAAACCAGCAGTAAGCTTGTCTACTGGGCCCTGATTCCATGTTCATACGAACTTACTTTTTATTTACAAGAATAAACATCAATCATCTCTATTTTGGATACAGTACCTAGTTATAAGTTTTAAAGAGCAAAATGTAGACTCTTATATAAAATCAAAGGGCTATGTACAAGCAGCAAGGAAGATCCAGAAATATTTTAAAATTCAAAATGAGGCTGATCAAATTTGGCTTCCAATGTATTAGGCTATCTGTGGATTTGTAATTGCATCATTTAAACTGTCTTACGTGGAATCAGATTCAGCATTGCACTGGAGAAAGAATCCTACGCTTTTTTGGTGTGGTCTGTCTGGATAAAAGCGTGGCATCACCATAATCTTCCATGGCAGATTTCGCACAAAACACGGAGGGCTAAGGACCGACTCACTCAGTCTGCTGAAGCGCTCGACAGTGAACTGAAAGGTCGCCTCGGAGCGCCAACTCGTGTCTGCAAGAAAACATTGTCAATCAGAGCCTGTGCACAATCAAGGAGCCCTGAAAGCACCAACAAGGGGGCATAAGCTATTCTACAACCACATCCTAGCTGCTAAAACCCAACCCTCTGGGAAAATGATAGTATCAGATCCAAGTTACTAAATAACCTAAAGCAGGACAATGACATAGAGTTCTGTGTGACTGAAACCCCAAACTCAGAAGGCTGACGACACACACCTGCATTCCTTCCTAGATTTAAGAGTTCAGTGTGATAAGAACAACTATTCTACTCTATCTTAATTCCCACATAATCCTTTGTGCCTACAGGGGTTTTAGAGAGAAGGGATGAAACATAACAGGTGTTCAAGAACAGGGCTCATAGATGAAAAGAAAAAAGTTTCAGACTCAGGCTGAGTTGGAGAGAAAAAAATGAAGGGGGGACGCTGAACTTGCAAAAACAAAGGAGACCCCTGGGGGGAGTGGAAACAAGCTTTCCCAGGAAGTGCAGTTCTGCTTAGAAACAAAAATACTGCTATAAAGTTAGCCTAAAAGTAAAGGTTAATTTCTTAGTTCACAATTATTGGAAACGACAGCCTGGATTACCTAGGAAGAATAGCTATTAAAATACAAAAAGAATCTGGTATTCTTTATTACTCATGAGACTGAAGGCCAATTTAAGAAATTATGGTTTTCTCCAATAAAAAGCAAAGTGTTGACACAATGCCTCTCAGTAGACTTTCAACCAACATCACACACTTCAGAATTCCAGCTCTTACTGATGGTGGCTATCCATTTATGAGTGACACAGGCCCCGATTAGCTTTGACAAACCCAGCAGTGTCCACACTGATGCTTCTCTGGCTCCTCACGTGACGCCGTGCTCCTCCCAAGGCCACCCCACAAATCTGTCACTGCCAGTGCTTCCTAATGAAACATCATAAAACTGCCACAGCAAGGTACACATTTCTAAATGCTTTCTCTGGCTTTCAGTATCTATCTCTTTGCAGAATGGGAACGGTTCACAGGCAGCCGGGGACCAAGGGCCACACCATGAGGACACAAACTGGTCTACAGAATAGAAGGACCTGGAAGGCTTTTGAAGAATCAGGTGCTATTTTGACATGCCGACCCCTAGGCTCCTGAGGTACCAAAGAGACTAGAGCCTTAGGGGAAGAAGAAAATGTTAAGAGCACATGACCTTCCTTCATCCTTCGGGGGCAAACTGCGGAGACGGCTGAGTGCTCAGGATGCAGACTTCTCAGGGTACACAAACTGCTTAATTTGTGACTAACTGAATTTGTTCTTAGGAAAACATGTCCATCAGTCCTCATGAGAAGGCAATATTCTTCCACCAAAGAAAGAAAATCCCAAAGTATGCGTGACAGTTAGCTTTTTTACCTTCCTTTAAACTCTTTCTTCATCTCTAATTTTATTTTCCTACATGTAACACTGCTCGGCAGTTTACAAAGAAGCCCTTTGAAAAGAAAGCAACTGAGCAGGGGTGAGTCACAACTAAGAGGTGCATCCTGAATTTGAGCCTCTCCCGGAGGCAGGCAACCCTAATCTCCCTTTGAGGGAAGATAAAACTCCACGGAGAAGGCAAGAAACTTCTTGAAGAGAATGATGTCTAGAATGACTTACGAGAAAAGTACGCCACTTTTTCATAGACTCACAGATCACATCAGAGTGGCATTTAAATCCTGTGAGGTAGGCAAGGGAAGCTATTACTTAATTCTCCGTTTCGACACCCGAGATTTGACGACACTAAGCACAGTGACCATGCCTCTGATTTGTACAGTGCCACTCTAACACTCTGCCAAACACGGGCCCCAATAAAATCGGCCTGCTACACAGAGACTGAAGACATGAAGGGAACCAAATGAAAAATCACTCCAGGACACTAACTACAGGGCTCTAAAGAGTTCAACATAGCAGGGCTCGGACTCTCTTCTAATTCTCCTATTTTGCTTTCAGATACAATTCGGCTCCCTACGGCATTAGATTCTATGTGGATAAAAATTGACACATTCTCCCTCCCGTCTCCTCTCTCTAGAAGTAAGTAAGTGAAATCTTTAAAAAAATTGGGAGACATACTATAAATACTTTGCTGCTCCACTTCCATCACACACTTCAGTCAATTTGTGAATTAATCTTTAAATATTAAATAGGACCAAACAATGGTGAAGTCAGTGTGGCACTGAGTCCACAAGATGGCAGGCCCAGCACAGGCAGAGGCTCAGTGCCCCAGGCCTGGCGCCACCCTGGCGCCCGGTACTCAGTTCACACTCGCTGACTTGTACACTCGATGTGAGACTCTGCCTCACACTGAAGGCACAGCCTTAGAACAGGCTAATCGTCTGAAACACACCAGTCAGGGAATTTCACATGAGATGTCATGGGACTAGAATCTCACCCCATGGCTGGAAATTCTTTACACTAATTCAATGGTTGAAAAATTATATTAAATATGAAAAGGTCAAAACTGAAGAGCCTACAAAAAAAGAGAAGCTGACTGAAACCCATCTTCGGCAGGCACAGCTGGCCTGATATCCCCCTACGAGGAATTACGAGAGGCTAATCCAAGACTCTGCCCAAGAGAACAGGTGAAAGGTACTCAGCATCCTATGTACTAGATTTGCCACTTCCGGTGTCTCTAACTACTTCAAAATTAAAAAGGTTTCAAAAAGCAGTACACCTGAGATTATGAAGGTACGGTGCCCCATATCCACCACTATAATATTTCAACCAAATAGAAACTCCTAACTGCCAAGATGCCACAGAGCACCTATTTCGCTACCCCATGCATCTTTTTATTGTAAATAATAGGATGACGGAGCTTGCGTTAACTGCTGCCATCATACATTCTCAGTCACGAACCTTGATAGCCCGCTACCTTCCCATCCTGTCCCCAAAGAGCAGCAGCAGCTCCCGTAGTCCACAGCTACCTGTGCCCATTCTTACAACAGTCTCATCTTCACAGGGCAAAGGCCAATGTACCCCCACCGCCTTGGGGTTCGGCTGTGCGAAAAAGTAGAGCACGATATCATACTTTGGTTTTCTGACTCACAAAGGTGAGCCTGAAGTTTTCCCAAATGGCACCCTGGCAGTTAATTTTTATCAAACCTCAATTACTCATCCAAATACAAGTCTTCACAAGTCCTAGTTAATTCCCAGAAACTACTTTTGTTTCACGGGTACCATCAATCTCAATCCAGATCCATCTACATCTGCAGAGGCTGCATTGGCTGTAAACTTCCCCTGGTCATCCCAGGCAAAACAGTAAGGAACTAAAGTCAAAGGACAGTGAGGAAGCACACCTAGACAATGATTTTCACACTTGCCCACAATTCTGTGTTAACAGGATTTGTAAAGGCTCTCTACCTCACAAACATCTTTCTAATCTGCGATTAGCTATTTCACTTTTCTATAGGAATCATACCCTACAAGGCCTCTCTGCACAGTTAGGGCATTGATCATTGTAATCCAGGGTTTTTCAGAGTAAGACGTTTTAAAAGGAGATTGAGGGAAAAGGAGTTCTAAAGTCCAGACTGTTGGGGAATCATTAACAAAGACTCTTTTGGAGAGGGGTGTTTGGAAAACGGCAGCTCGGAGAAGTACTACACTACGGAAACTTCTTGAACCTAGCGCTCCTCGGACTTCCTAGATTCACAACACGTTACACATGTCCTGCAGAAGAGTGTTTTTGAAATACACGTCATGGTTGCGAAAATGCTGCCCCTTAAAGAAGGTTTCTACGCCTAGAACCAGAACCGCCTCCCTCCCGCCCCCTTTGCCAGCCATTAGAAATGAACTTTGTCACTCCCTTACTCCTGGGCCTCCCAAAAGGCACCTAAAATCCAACCCAGGAAGAAAGCGCTATTGCAGACCACTCTACTCTTTCTTCTACGATTCCTTTTTCCACTTGGTAAATCACAATGGAGGCATTTCCACTTCTAGTTCTACGGTTCAGCATCGTTATTTACTACAAATTATTTAGCAGAATTGCCTCAAGAGAAAGGGATTTTACATACATTATGATCTCGTAACAGTGGTCCACAAATGAGGCAATGCCGGCTCCCAAGAACGTCAGGCAGTGTCTAGATACTTGGTTGTCACGACTCAGGGAGCGGGGGGAGATGGAGGGAAGAAGAGTGGGATAACACTGGCACCCCATAATGCACAGGACAGCCCCCTACAACAAAGAATGACCCACCCAGAGAGGCAACAGCGCCGAGGCTGCGACACCCTGCCCTTTCGTCTGCACTGGTGCCTTCTCCCAAGCCCTCCACCCGAAAAACACGAAGGGAAATAGCAGTACGAAGTTGCTCTGTGGGAACTAGACTGACAGGGCTGTGACTGGGTTGGGCCAGCTACTCCTCCACAAGTGGCTAGAAATGGTCCTTAACGCAAACCTGGCACACGAGACCTGTCTGTGCCTTCCCACTGCGTTCTCTCCATCACTTTTGGCATCTCCGGTGTCTAAAATAAAACCAAGAGCCCAGCAACCAAAGACACCACACCCACACCGTTGCCCTTGGTCTAGAGTGGAAAGCACACTCCACAGGTAACAAAGCAGCGGGGTTTAAACCACGCCTCTTTACCTTCCTCAGATATTGCCTCAGCCAGCTGCCAGGGGGTAAACCGCACTGTGAGAGAACTCTCAACTACGGCTGCAGTTTCTCATGGAGGCTGAACTTTTGGCAGGAGGTCTGAACAGCAGTCCTTCTGGTGGTGCAGCCCGTGGCTGATGAGGTTTCTTTCAACTGCCCCGTTACACCCCTGGGAAGGACACAACCCTCATGAGGATTGATGGACATGCTTTTGACAGAACATGGTTTCATATTACACTGCAAGATTCCAGGGGCTGCATAAAGTGATTACGGGCTGCTACCTGCTCACGATTTTGACCTTCCCAATGTACAGGTCACATACTCCAATAAATTACAAGGAAGAAACTGCCTCAAAACAAAGTGATTCCCTGGGCACAAAATGGCCATGCATGTACATATGCACATGGTTTTTGCACAGAAGGTATAGACCAAAAGTTAGTGTGGGAGAATGAAGCCCAAAGCTCGGTCTGATTTCATACCTAACGGGAGTGGGGTACAGACAACTGATACACACACTACACTGAGACTGCAATGGAAAGCCAAGTTCCAATGTCTAGAACTATCTTGCTGCAAACAAGAAGGAAAGGAGAGTAACGTGTATTTATTCTGAATACTAACAGTGGCTGGGAAACTGCAGACCTGAGTAAATACCCATCTATTATAATAAACTCCTGTATTTAAACCTCCTCACCTAGGCTGGGGACAATCAACTTACCTTGGAACTTGTAGGTAATCTTGAAATTCAACAACAAAAACAGGCTCATTTTTCTTCAGATACACCCTCCTAAAAACCTAGCTGCTTTTAAGAAACTCACAAGTACTTGAGGAAGAAATACACAGCACATCTATTTGTCTTTCATGACACAGTTTTCTGCCCAACGGAACTAAGCAAGCCACACGTACTTACCATCCTCCATATCTTCTTCTGTGTTGTTGTGCCCATCACTCATGGCTACATTCCCATTGATAACAGGATTTTGAGTAATTCTTGGTGGATCATCTGTATCTCCAGCTTTAAAGAAAACAAAGAAGTTCCATCGTTTTTACCTTCACGGCTTAGATTAAACAAGCAAAAATATTCAGTACTGTTGACAACTTCTTGGCACTAATAAGTTCCGGCTGTGCCATAATTAATGTCCTCAAACCCAAAAGGTACTTACAAGTGTATTTTACTAAATATGAACTTGGGTTGATACCAAAATGTTAAGTGTACTTGAACACTTTACACAATAATCTCCATCTGCAATGATATTTATTTTGAAGTAGGTTTCCTACTCATTGGAACTCAATCAATCCCAGGGAAAACACTGTTGAACATTGACTAAATATACACAACACAGAGTACGCTAGATCTTTTTACCACAGATACATGCCACTGCCTTTCGACAGAAACTGTCATTCTCAAAGTGTCTCTGGACAGTCACTGTATAATTGAAGTAGAAATCCACGCAAAAACAGGACTGGTATTTTGGGGAGCACAGGGAGCTGGGAGGAAGGTCTCTGGGAGGACTGCCGCGTATAGAGTCCAGAAAGGACCGCAAAACCAATAAACTGGTTTTGTTATTCTGAATGCTTGCTGAAATCTGGCTTGAAAAACATTTACATGTGATCAGAAGTGTAGATTCAAAATGCTTAAGCAATGGCCCTGACTGGTGTGTGGCTCAGTGGTTGGGCATCGTGCCGCAAATGCAAAGGTCGCCGGTCGATTCCATGTCAGGGTACATGACCCGCTGGCAGGCCAGGTCCCCAGTTGGGGACATGCAAGAAGCACTGGTTGCAGTTTCTCTCACACACTGATGTTTCCTGCCTTCTCTTTCTCCCTCCCTTCCCCTCTCTCTCTATGAATAAATAAGTAAAAAAAAAAAAAAAAAAAAAAAAAAAAAATTTTTTTTAACTATAGCAAGACGAGATTTAATGGTCTCTATTAGCCAAAAAGACCATACTGCACACTTTTAGATCCTTTCCTTCTTCCACGTATCAGAACAGCTCACTGCAGTTAGTGCTGGCCCCCGAGCTGCCAGTGCACTCAGCTTTCCCTGGGGCACCAGACACTTTGAGAGAAATTAAAGAGTCTCAGCTACAGACAGGAGGTGTGGTTTTAAAAATATCTACATAGGTGTGTCCTAGGCCTGCAGATTTCAGAGCCTTTACCATATACAGTCGGTTTCAGCACCATGGATAGCAGTGCTGTTCTTCCTCCACCTCTACACACTCAGAACCCCAAACTCTCAGGTTACATCTCTCAAATAATTCCTGAATATAAGCTGCACTTTATCCTTCTTAAGGAACACACACACACACCCCACACACACCCCAGAAATCCCTGAAAGGCAAAGAACAGGTATTACCACCCGCATGTAGACAGACCATTGCCAGTCTTGCTAGTTCTTTTATTAGATATCAATCTACACACTTAGCAATGTGTTAAAAGCTAGTCTTAAAAATAAAAATGTATGGTTCTTAAACTAGTCCCTCAACCAACACACCCTGACAGAGAAATTGGGGGAGGGAAGTATGGCAAGCACAAATTATTTTTACCACCACTTAACTAGCTCAAACCCTAAACTCTCCAGGGATGTCCAACTTTTGGGCATCTCTGGGCCTCAAGAGGAGAAGAAGAAGAGTTGCCTTGGGCCACATGTTAAAGACACTGCAACAAGTAATCACACACCAAGAAAACCCTGATACTGTTTTAAATGAATTTAAAATTCTGGCCTGGGCTGCATTCATAGCCTACCTGGGACACATCTGACCTGAGAGCCACAGGTTGGACACCACTGCAAACTATATGTGCTTAAAAAGCCATAAAAAAACAGGCACCTTGCTTGACCGAAATGTCTTTCATCTACGTTTATCAGTTAACTACATGAAAATACCGCAAAACTGTTTTACGATAAAAAAATCTCTGGCCTATGAAATCAATGGCACACAAACCAAATGGAATACTAAACATCAGTTATTTTAAGTACTTATATGGAAAATTATTTAAGTCAGGTGAAGTTAAAATCAGGACACTGAACAATAACACAACCTTAGTTATAGAAGAGATAAGGTACGCTGAAATCAAAATATATAAATTGTTATTTCCCTTTAGGCATACAAATAAACACTGAGAGTATAAGCAGAAACAATGAAGAGGTTCTACAGAAGCAGGAGAGTATTCACCAACTATACACACATTCATATCACAGAACGCACTTTGAATCTTAATTTGCTTGATGCAGGCCCGGTACTTTTCATTTAGTTCCTTGGTTAAAATCGGTCCCGCTGCAATTTCTTTACAATATGGCATATAATGCACAAGTGGAAAAATGAAAAATAATCTCTGTGCACAAAATATAGCACTACTCCTAAAATTAGGATGTTATGTAAGTGTAAGTGGTCGAAATTGTGGCAAGTCGTAAACTTGCCTGATCCATTATCCCAAAGATTCTGAGACCCAAGTGAACTCACGTTGTTCTCAAAGAAAGTATCTCTAAAGGTCTGTTTTGGTGACTTGAGACACAGAGTACTTTTTCACCAGAAGTTAAAGTAGTAATAAAAGTCAAGATCTAGGAATCATGGACAAAACCAAAGGGGAAGAGTTGACAGAGGGAGGGAGGGGGCAAGGGAAAGTGGTGAGGGGAAGGCAGAGACAAATGTATTTGAAAAAATAAATAAATAATTTTTTTAAAAAAAGTCAAGATCAATTCAAGAGATCTTATCGATCACCAACCGTAACACCTTGCTTGGGTAGAGTAGCAAAATGAATAAACTGGACCATAGTTTTTCACCAGGAGAATTAACTGCAAAGGAGGCGAATGAAGAAAGCCTACTATTTTATAAAATGAGAGATCCTGTGCTGAGCACTTCTTTGCAGTTGGCCCTAGAAGGGAAGGCAGGATTAAAATTTTCATTAAGACAGTGAATTCCTGGACCAGAATTAAATGATCAAAGTACCCAATGCCCACAAAAGTCTCTACTAGGCTCCCAGAAATATGCTCAAGGATAAATAAACTGCCTTCTTCAGCATCAAAGAAGTGCAACGTTGGTGGGTGCATGTATTTGTCCCTGTATATAATAATCCTTTTCCTGAATTTTATATACCACCGAGCTGGGATTTCCCCAGATGAGTCAACTCTCATTTGGCCTTTACGCACAACACTAATTTTCTGATACACAATGATCCCAAAGAAGAATGGAGACACGTCTGGCAAATGCCAATGACAATATGGAATGCCTCAAAAAAACAGACAAAATGTCCCTGATAGGCCAAAAGTCTGCAGGGTGAAAGAAGCAACTTTCAAGGCAAAATATACACACGACACTCAGAAAAGTTACAGATCGTTTTCTACCGCTCATGATTGGTAAGTCTTTTGACAACAGCCCTTGTGATAAGTATCAGAGGCATAATTTTAATATATATGTAGAAAGCTACAAAATACCTTGTGACTTTAGAAACACCCAAGAGGCTAAGTGGGGTCATTACTAATCCTCTATATCCTCCTCTGTCATGGAGGGTGCCTTTGCTTACATTCAGCTTTCCTTCCCGCTCACTTTCATTTGTGATGTCATAACAGAACTACTAACCCAGAGAACATGGCCAATTGATAGGGAAATGATGCAGCACTGAGTAAGCACCTGAGTCTCACTCCTAGACGAGCTAACTGATGAAGAACACTAGTACAGTCTGTTGGCTTTGACACTGCCTGTCACTTCATAAAGATTTCTCAAACCTCTCCCAAAAAGGCTGGGGTTGGAGAAACCAACCACCACAATAAAACTCCACAGCCTTCTTCCACAAAGATCCTGGTACACAAAGAGCCAGCCATGTCTCAGATTAGCTCTCCACTCAGCCCCCAGGGTCCTCTTCATATTCTCCAACTAGTGACACAACCCACTGAGCAAAACCACAACTCAGTGAAAAAGGCAAAACACAGATTACCAACTCAGTCCCTGAATTGGTCAAGCGACCCTTTAACTGCCCATCTTAACCTCAACCCTACCAGTTCACGTTGAATTCCAAGTCAAACACCTCCTCTGTGCTGCGTGCTCTCCCCTCCCCTTGCCCTTCTGCTTGGTCTTCCTCCTCTCATCTCTCTCCCAGCCCTGAACCCGCTTTCAAAAGGACTACATAAAACGGACGTTATCAAAGTAAAACAGAACACTGGAATCTTTCTGCATACTCATGTCTTAATTGGCAATCCCAAATATAGTTTCAGAAAAACAGTTCAGAAGTATCACTACTGGTTCTGGAAACCCATCAAGCAGCATAAAGACCCCACTCTGAACTCTGAGTCACCTTCCTGTCCAAGGTGGTTCTCTGCCATGTCTGCATGGCTCTGCAGCAGAACTACGGGGCTGGGGGAAGGGAGGGTTCTCATCCACATCAGAGTGACTGCATAGAATCTCTAGGAGCGCTACCCCTCAACATTCTGTTTTTAAAGCTCCCACAAAATTGGGACCAGAAACAGATTCCAGCAACTTCAATCATTTAAATACTCATCTTCAAAGGCAAAGTATCTGGCTCTATGGGGTGGCCTTTAGGGCACGATACTCCTGTGTTACGTTCTCTATAGGTACATTTAACAAGAACCGTTCCTATGCAAAGTGTGTGTATGTGGTCTTAAGCATACACTCGTATTGTGAACCTGTACATTGCAAAGTAGTCTGGAAACTCGTAGAGCACTAAAGCACAACCGCAAGAGAAAACGGTGTGCAGTTATTAAACTTGATGTAGCTGAACTGTAATGTTTAGTTTATAAAGGTTCTTTCTATTTTCTATAGCAAACTTTTTAACACTTGACAAACAAGAGCTATACTTGATTTTTGTAAGTATTTAGGCTATGTTAAATAAATGACTGCCCAATAACAGTTTTTTAAAAGGGCAAAGTAGTCCAGAAACAGAAAGAGAACGCTAAGGGGTGGGGCGAGGGGTGGGGGGGGGGAGGATCTGGTTGCTAGTTCCTTAGTTCATTTAAGCTGTTAACAACGGGAAACCCAGTGAGGGGTACATGGGGACAAGCTACACTA